TTTTTGAGTTTATGAAAATGCATAAATGTTACTTAAAGAAATAATTTATTTTTATTAGGGGTTGTACACTCTTAACTTTTTTTCAATTTTAGGGTCAATGTTCTTAATTTTAATTTTCTATAATTCGAAATGGAAAACTAAATAGTACACTTTTTACTTCGAAAGACAATTTATTGTTATCAAGGGTTGTCCACCCCTAATATTTTTTTAAATTTTGGAATCAATTTTTTTTTAATTTTGATTTGAGCTATTATTTTACATAATTGAAAATGTAATTTTTTGAGTTTATGAAAATGCATAAATGTTACTTTAAAAAACAATTTATTTTTATTAAAAGTTCTTGTTCGCCCCTAACTTTATCTTAATTTGGAAATCAATTTTTTTATTTTCATAATACGAAATTAAAATATGCACATAACTCTAAATTTTCTCCCTCCTTCCACAAATCTCTATTTCATAATAGATTTTAGTAAAACTTTTAAAATCTCAGCAGAAAAAAATTAGGTTTTGTTTAAGAATTTTGTTTTTTTTACATTTTTGAAAATTTTGAAAACATTTATCAAAAATATAGTATTTTGAAGTAAAAACAGTTGTTGATATTTTGTCAATTGCGCATTAAAAAAATTAAAATAAACAAAGTTGACCCCAAAATTGAAAAAAGTATTAGGATTAGACAACCCTTAATAGTAATAAATTGTATTTTAAAGACAAATTTAAGCTTTTTCTTCAAGTTCAAAAATCTGAAATAAAATTATGTCAAAAATATTCATCGGGATAAAAAATGATTGATTTGCTAAAACGGCTATAAAAAAATAGGGGTTGGTGATAAAAATTTTAGGTTGTATGTATTTTTAATGCCACATTATAAAAGAATAAAAATAAAAAATTGTGTCCAAAAATTACAAAAAAAAACGTTAAGGGTGGACAACCCCTAGGGGTATAAAAAATAGATAGTGCCCGAATCTCAGACCTACTGAATACGCATATAAAATTTGGTAAGAATCGGTAAAGCCGTTTCGGAGGAGTGCGGAAACAAACTTTGTGAATAAATATGAAATATAAATATATTAGACTATAATTAATATCAAACGACTTAGAAATCTCGTCTATCAAATAAATTGTCTGGGCAGCAATATAATTTACATAGAAGAAAGAAGCCAGAACTTAATTAAACGTTTACAACAGCATAAAACCAAAAAAATCCGAAACAATTTAAAACTATGATTGCGGACCACATTAATACGTTAAAACACAAAATAGACTTTTCTAACGCGACTGTACTACAATTTGAACAAAATTTATTTAAACGAAAAATTATAGAAGGATCTTTTTTTGACTATTTATAACAGTAGGACAATAAATAAGCGAAATGTACTTAACACGCTGTGCGACACCAATTTATTTTATTTAGATGAAATTACCAAATTTCTCACAAAACAATAAAAGCGTCGCGCAAAGGATTCGCAATTCGTTTCACACATGTGTAGAATATCTTGGTAAAAATATTTTTTAAAAAGTCTTTTCTCCATTATATATTTAACCAGTCTACGAACAACACACAATCCAATTGTGATTTTTTTAATTAGTATTTTGTGAAAATATTGTGTAATTACAAGTTTAATGTTTATAATACATAGTGTAGTGCATTACCATATCCTGATACCATGGATTATTAAAATTTTCCAATTTAACACTAAGATCAACTAATTGTAAGTACTATTTACTGTTTTTATATTTTCTTTTCGCTCCAATTCAATTGTTTTAGTTTTTAATTTTATTTTTAGTTTACACTGAATGAAGGACAGGATTATAGCCGAAACGTATGGATTTAAAATAAATTTTGAAAGAAATTCATGTTTTTTATTGATGTTATGCCCGATTACTAAACTTTGTTAATACATGTCAACATCAAATTCAGAATCACACACAATATGTATATATATATATATATATATATATATATATAAATACACATATAAGTATTATTATATATCATTTATCTTACCGACTATGTTGATGCCATTCTTCTTGGCATTTTTGGCAAATGGCGAATTGTACGACCCGTCGAACGACAGATTCCTGGCCATCCACGCAATCGTGTTGGCAGTCCTCTGCAACGTGACCGAGTCCTTCAGGCCCTGCACCTTCGACAGCTCCTGCAGCAGAACACTGTCGGGGACGTTGTCGAAGACACCATCGGTGGCCACCAGGATCACATCCCCGTCTTCCACCTGAGGGTAAAAGATAAATGATATCATAATTAGAAGTTCCGTAATAACAGACTGATGATAATGATAATGGTTATTATCGTTTACCTGAAATGTGCTGGTGTCTGCAGACTCTGGACGATCGCTGACAACATTGTGTCTGTGTCCAGGAGGCGGCAGGGATAGTTGAAAAGGTGTATTAAAGTAGTGCTGTTGCTCCGAAGACCTGTGCACGACTACACCTGCTCTCACAACCATGTAACCGCTATCACCTGAAAGAGATAGTAGAAATTGAATAATGTTAGTAATAATTGAATAATGGTGAAGGATGATGATGATGAGAAGAACAAGAAGCTGGTTGGAGTACGTACCAATATTAGCAGTGTATACAGTGCTGGTTTCTCGATTCAGAACCACAACACAAGCAGTACTGCTTCCTGCAAAGAAACAGACATATATGTATATGTATATATATATATATATATATATATATATAATCATATATATATATATATATATATATTTATATATATATATGAAATCACATACTAACCTAAAATAGGTTTCTTATGTTCTAACAATTCCCAGTAGCTTCTCGCTAAGAGATTTCCTGGGTTATTTGGCTTAAACTTTCCGACTTGCACAAGTCTAAAAAGGAATTTAATATAAAAAGGAAAGGAAGTTAATATAATTTAAATCTAATTATATGTATATATATATATATATATATATATCAAATATTCACCTTTCACATGTTTTCATTAAAAACGAACTAAATTCTCCAGGATCTATCCCATAGGCTCTCCAACCACCTACACCGTCAGCTACTCCTGAAAAAATAGAAATAAAATTTTATTTTAATTATAATTGTTGCAACAAAACTTATTAAAGTTTTAATAAGTAAAAATTGAACAGATTTAATTAAATATATATATATATATATATATATATATATATACATATATATATATATATATATATATATATATATGAGTAACATTAAAATTCCTGCTGTGATGTAACAGATATTGTAAAAAATATTATAGGCCTACGGTAAGTGGTTTAATTATAAATGTTTACAATAATCATTAAAAGTAATTATCGATCAGCAGCAATAATTTTATTAACTAAAAGCGATGTGTATATATTCTATTAAATATTATACCTATGGAAAGTGAGCTATGGATTACCAAATACGGTTACCAAGCTTAATTTTGCAATTTAAATAAATATTTTAACAAATATATTCGACAATACACAAATTCTGCAGCGTGTCAATGACTTGTATATACGTCAATAATAGTTAACTAGTTAATCAACATACATATTTGGGTTTTAATACTCAAATTTCAATTCCTAAAAAGAATTGTTCTAGAGGTTAGGTTAATACTGCAATTTAAATAGCCTGCCGTCACTAATTTAGACTTATGAGAAATATACTCGTCAAGACATAACATTCTGCAACCTTACAATGACGTGCATACTCGTCAATTACAGAGAAATGAATATTTAAATGCAAATATGGGTATTTAACAAGTTCTCATGCAATTGTCCTAGAGGTTAGGTAAATTTGTTAGAAGCAATGGACATTGATTAATATGTATGACAAATAAACTCGTCAATACACAAAATCCTGCCATGACGTGTATACACATCAATAGTAATTAACTAGTTAAACAATACAAATTTATGTATTTTTACTATTATTAAGAAATCTTTGTGCAACTGTCCTAAAGGTTAGGTTCATTCGTTAATCCAATGGCCACTGATTTAAATGTAAGACAAATATGAAAGTCAATATATGAAATTCTGTAACATCTCCATGACGTGTATACACGTCACAAACAAGTAACTGATCAACCAATACAAATTTGTGTATTTTATAACTTTTATAAGAAGTCTTCGTGCAAATGTCCTAGAGGTTAAGTTGATACGTTAATAGCAAATAATCAATGATTTAAACGTATGACGAATATATTCGTCAATACACAAAATTCTGCAACTTGTCCATGACAGTTAACTAGTTAAAAAATTCAAATTTGTTCATATTAACTATTCGACTAATAGTCACTGATTTAAACGTATTGCAAATATACTCGTCAATCCATAAAATACTGTAACTCGTCTATGACGTGTAAACACGTTATTAGTAGTTAACTAGTTATACAATAGAGTGTATTTTAACTTATTAAAGAAGTCCTCGTGGGAATGTCCGAGAGGTTAGGTTAATAAGCCAGTGATCATTAATTTAAATGTATGACGTATATAATCGTCAACATACAGAATTATATAATTTCTCCATGACGTGTCTACACGTCATACAAAATTAACTAATGAAACAGTACAGATTTGGATATTTAAACTCTTAACGGGTACGCACGAACACTGCTCGCGCCTAGTTGTCGTATCCTAGCGGGCTAACCCGAGCGCTGCTCGCCAAAGTTAATGTTTATGTTTTATGCGATAAAAGGCTTACAATGGCCCGTGTTGAGATATGTTTAGTTTAGATATGATAAGTACAGATCAATTAATAATTGTATATATAAAAATCAATCTTTAACGACTTTTGAGAATAGAAATAACATGTAAAAACCGCCTAAAAAACGGGCAGTGGAAAAATGTTTCGAAATCCATCATATGATAATATTTTTTTATTATTATAATATAAATAATTAAATAAGTAATACTTTTTGTCCTTGAGATATATTAGTGATTGTACATGAATTTTTCACCCGAATGACTGATTTACTTGAATTTTCTTATTTGTTTATAAATTTGTTATATTATTTTCAGATAAATAGATATTATTAAAATTTAAAAGTTATTAAATAAAAATTTCGTATTATTTATCATATTATAACACAATAGTTTATACATAGAGCATAAAGGTAGTCCAAAAACCATCAAAGCGGTCATCAGTATTATAATATATATTGTTAATTTTAAACAAAAATAAAATAAATAAAAAGGAAATGTTATCAGAAACACATATTACATTAATTAAACTTTGAAAATCCACAATAAAAAAACCTGCTCTTTTAGATCACTTTTCACGAAAAAAAACCCGACCGTTAAGTGGTTAAGAAGTCCTCGTGTGAATGTCCTAGAGGTTAGGTTAATTCGATAATAGCAAATACTAATTTTAAAGTATGACGAATATATTCGTCAGAACAATATGTTGTACCTTCTCTACGACATGTATATTCGTCCATAGTAGTTAATTAGTTAAACAACACAAATTTGCGTATTTTAACGCTTATAAAAGAAGTCCTGGTGAGAGTGAAGCAAAGGCTCATTTAAAAGGCATGACAAACATACTCGTCAATGAACAAAATCTTCAACTTCAACATGACGTATATACACGTCACGACCAATTAAGTAGTTAATAAATATATATTTGTGCTTTAATACTCAAATTTAAATTTTTATATAGAATTGTCCTAGAGGTTAGGTTAAACTGCAATTTAAATAACCTACGGTCACCTTATAATGACGTATATACTCGTCAATGGCAGTGAAATGAATGAATCAATGTAAATATGAGTATTTAACAAATTCTCGTGCAATTGTTCTAACTCGTTAATAGCAAATAGTCACTTATTTATGTGTATGACAAATATATTCGTCAATACATGACATTGTGCATCTTCTACATGACGCGTAAACACGTCATACAAATTTAACTAGTTAAATAATACAAATTTATGTATTTTAACTCTTATTAAGAAGACCTCGTGCAACTGTCCTAGAGGTTAGTTTAATGGTTACTGAATTAAACCTACGACGGATATACTCGTCAATACACATCATTTTCTAACTTCTTCATGACGTGTATACACGTCCATGACAGTTAACTAGTTAAAGAATACATATTTGTGTTTTAATACTCAAATATCAAATCCTATAAAGAGTGTCCTAGAGCTTAGGTTAAAGCGGTAATAGCAAATGGTTATTGAAAATATATGTATGACGAATATATAAGTCAGGACACTAAATTATTCGCCCCTTTCATGACGAGAATACACGTCATTTAATCAATACAAATTTGTATATTTCAACTCTATTTAAGAAGTCCTTGTGCAGATGTCCAAGAGATTAGGTTCAGTCGTTAAAAGCAAATAATAACTGATTTAAATGTATGACGAATATACTCGTCATAACATAAAACTCAGCACCTCCTTCATGACGTGTATACACGTCATAAAGTTTTAATTGTTAAGCACTACAAATTTGTGTATTTTAACTATTTTTAAGCAGATCTGGTTAGAATGTCCAAGAGGTTAGGTTAATCGTTATTAGCAAATAATGACTGATTTATAAGAATGACAAATATACTCGTCAGTACACAAAATTCTGTAATATCTCCATGAGGTATATACACGTCATACACAACTAACTGGTTAATCAATACAAATTTATGTATTTTAATTCTAATTTAGAAGTATTTGTGCAAATGTCCTAGAGGTTAGGTTAATGCGTTAATCGAAAATAGTAACTGATTTATTTGTATGACGAATATACTCGTCAAAACACATAATTTTGCAACTTCTTTATGACGTGTGTTATAATTAATCATTGTTTTGTGGTTAATAAATACAAATTTTGGCATTTTGACTCTTGTTAAGAAAGTACTAGTGTGCATGTCCTAGAGGTTAGGTTAATCGTTATTAACAAATAATGACCTATTTATAAGAACGACAAATATATAAGTCAATACAAGAAATTCTGCACATCCTCCATGACGTGTATACACGTCCATAACAGTTAACAGGTTAATCAATACAAAACTGTATATTTTATAACTTTTAATAAGAAGTCCTTGTGCGAATGTCCTAGAGGTTAGGTCAATATTGCAATTAAAATCTCCAATGATTACTCGACAAATACAATCATCAACAGACAACATTTTGCTACTTGTCCATGACGTATATACACGTCATACTCAATTAACTAGTTAATACAAATTTATGTATTTTATAACTTTTAATAAAAAAATTCTTGTGCAAATATCCTAAAGGTTAGGTCAATATTGCAATTTAAATATCCAATGATTACTCGTCATGACAAACACACCCATCAACACACAACATTTTGCTACTTGTCCATGATGTATATACACGTCATACTCTTTTTAATTTAAACTCTTATTAAAAATTTTTTGTGCGAATGTCCTAAAGGTTAGGTTAAAATTACAATTTAAATAACAAATGTCACTTGTGAGATATGAGAAATATACTCATAAGTACATAAAAATCTGCACCTTGTCCATGACGTATAGACACGTCATACACAATTAACTAGAGAAACAGTACAAATTTGGTTATTTAAACTCTTATTAAAGAAGTCCTCGTGAGAATGTCCTAGAGGTTAGGTCAATATTGCAATTTAAATATCCAATGATTACTCATCAAGATAAATACAATCATCAATACACAAAATTCTGCTACTTCTCCATGACGTATATACACGTCCATAACAGTTAACTAGATAAAAAATACAAATTTGTGTATTGTAACTTTTAATAAGAAGTCCTCGTGCAAATGTCCTAGAGGTTAGGTCAATAATAGAATTTAAATAGCCTTATATGGCATGACAAATACACTCGTCAGTACACAAAAAACTTCACATTATCCATGACGTGTATATACATCAATAGTAGTTAACAAGTAAACCAATACAAAATTGTGTATTTTATAATTCTAATTACCAAAAGTCCTTGTGCAAATGTCCAAGAGGTTAGGTCAATACGTTACATAACCCAAACAAATAAACATGACAGATTATATTTATTATTACTAAAATTTATTAAATATTATTATTATTATTATTATTATTATTATTTTTATTATTATTTACCTATAACATCGACACATTTATTCTTAGCAGTGAACCAGGCGTCGTCCCCAAACTGTCCTTTCCTACTAAGTGACGCCGACGAGAAATCTTTGGGGAATCCGCAGACGACCGACACAAAATGGGGCTCCCTTTTAACATTCGTATCAATCAAAGTCGATAAACTTAAACCATTCCTCAAGGCACGAGACAGCAATCTGCCCGTCCAGCAAATAGACTGCATTATCAAATCAAATTGTGTTGTACGATCACATTAGTTAGATTGTAATTAAACATGGTTTATAAAACTAGTAAAATGGTGTTCACTAGGACATGGTAAATGATATTTATATAGTCTTGGTTTTTATTTTGACAACTGCGGTTTAAGAAATTTTTAATTGTAATCGCATGCACTTTCGTCGTCGGTAGGACTAATGGTGGAATTTGCGCAAGAGCTGTCATTTGGGTGTTGTCAGAGGAGGATGAAGTTGTGTTCAAGGCGGGAAATTTGAATTAGAATTAGTAATCGTGTATTATAGCTAATTGCTAGAACTTTCCGTACCGTAATCAAGATAAATAATGTTTAAAAAATCTGTTTTGTACTTGTTTTAATAGAATAGTTCTCAAATATGGTTAAGAAAATTTTATTTTACTAATGATGGAATTTGCGCAAGAGCTGTCACTTGTATGTTGCCAGAGTAGAATGAAGTTGCGTCGAACGCGGAAAATTTAAATTTGAATTTGTCGTGCGTGCATAATTGTACCTTAAGGCAAATTGCTGGAACTTCCTGTACCGTAATGAAAAATTCAAGAAATTTTAAACGTTTTCTAATATATTATTACAAATACTTTAACTTTCATTATTTCTGGTCAAAAATGAAATAAATACAAAGATTTCTTGGTAGTTGGGTAGACAGGTAGACAGTGGGCAAACTAGTCGTGTATGGCATCGTGCCTTAAGACAAATTGCTGGAACTTCCCGTACCGCATTGAAATATTCGAGAAATTTTCAAATTAACGTTTTCAAATATATTATTACAATTATTGTAACTTTCATTATTTTTGCTATCTTGTGTGTTATATCTGAGCAAATCAAATGTAAATCATAAATCAATTTATCTCTAGAACATTAACAATCGTCATTTCATTTCAAATTCAATTTCAAAAAAAAAATTACACAAAATTGAAAAAGTGCTCCCTCACAGTCACAGTCTAAACGCACTTGCGAATAATTTTGTGCGACATTTTCACTAATACTGTGCTTAGCTTGGCGGCATTTTCACATTTTCCAATAGTTTTTTCATAAAATTGGAAAAGTGGTCCGTACATAAACAGTCTAAACGCACTTGGGTAAACATTTGTACCAGAGTGGCGCTTAGACTGTGCTTAGCCTGGGTAATTTTTTGAATTTTTAACCCAAAATTACATTTTTATAATTTATTTGTCTAGAATTAAAATTAATATCCAAATCATTTTCCCAAAAATTGAGATTTTATTGAGTTTTAATGAAATTAAGATTAGATTTAGTATTAATCAAATTAAATATTTTATAGTTCAGTACTATAAATATTTTATATTTACAATAAATAATTTACTAAGATTTTACAGAGACTATGTACTTTGTTACATACAAAATTATATTAAAACAAAAAGACTTACTTGTAAAAAATAAAGTTTTAAATGATAAGTTGAAGTTAAATTAAACAAACTCTTAATAATTATAAATATAAAAATACATATATATATATATATATATATATATATATATAATATAAAAATATTATGTTTCTAGTACCATAACTTCATAAACTTTGTGAGCTTCCTCCTGACCATTATAAGGGATGTAGCAACAGCCGTGACTTGGATGAACCTTAAAATAATATAAGTTATTTAGTGACAAAATTAATATAAATATCAAATTTGAAATAGTTGAAAATATATTTCATACAAGTATATTGTGTTCTCATTTCTATATTGTACTAGCAAACCCGACTCCGTTTCGCCACCAGATGGTTTCATGAGAAAGATGAAGAAATTTTTTGTTTGTTTTATAATTGAAAAGGAAAAATTTGATTTTATTATACAACAGCAATAAATTTATTTCGATTATAAAAATGAAGTGTTTTTTAGCTGAACTTCTCTAAGTAAATGATAGCGAATCCGCAAATTATCCGTTTCATTGAAGTGCTCTTTGGTAAACCACATTTTTTGTTTTTTGGTCTGACGTTAACACAAACAAAGCGGACGGTTTTCCAACTCGTGAACAGGCAACGTATAACTGCCCATGTGAAAAACAATGATTTTCTAAATAATCAATTTGAAATTTATCCCGCAAACACTAAGCGATTGGCCTTGCGACTTGTTATTGCGAACGCAAGGAAATTGCAATCGTTTGAAGTCAAACGGAAGACCAGTCGGAATCATTGGTTTGTCACCAAATCGCCAGCAATTTTTGATTGAATGGTGAAATTCAGTGCGTGTACATCATTATTCTTTGCGGCAAGAATTGCTCGTTGACTTAACCAAGCATAATTCTGATAATTCTCACTAATGTCATTACTCAAATTTTTAATTACGGTGCGTGAAGTTTCAGCAGCTTGCATTAAGGCACGATGCCATGCACCACTAATTTTCTTAGCTATAAACCTTGCGGAGCCCGAGACCTTTCCAACGAATGCAAAATTGTCGAAATCGGTTCGTGCGTTCTGGAGTTATATCGTCAGGAAGGAAAACTAGACTTACTTTTATATATTCTATATTGTATATTTATATAAATCTTATCTAGAATCAAACCTAAGGGTAAATTTACGTGCTACGGTCGGAGGCGATATCTATGGAGTGGGAAACCAATTAAAATTGAGGTAACGTGTTTGCGATATATTTATACCTCTTTTATTTATCATCTAGATCATATAATTCTTCAATTAATATCGTTTTATTTACCTTTCCGACAGCCACTCCGCCACGAAGGTGCACTCTTCCGGCATAAAGGACTTCCCCGGAAACGGTCTGGCCTACCGGAAAAGCACCCGGAGGAACTGTTCCATTTCTGCTCTGCACCCACTTGCATTCTGAACGAACCAATATCTATAATAGATAAATAAATATATAATTCTTCTAAATATGAGATAAGGTCCTTTAATTCATAAGCTCTTACATTTCATCCATAATAAAACGAATGATAAAAGTTACAGTATTTATAATAATATATTTACAAACATTTAATATTCCTCGAATATTTCATTACTCCACGAGAAGTTCCAGCAATTTGCCTAAAGGCACGCTACCATACACCACTAGTTATTACTATTATTACCTCAAAATTATTAACAGGAACCTCCACTCCATTATAGCTGATATAGGCGGCGCTCTTATTCGGTATAACTTTTGCGGGCACCACATCCCCCTGGTACAGGCTGCGCCCCACATAAATTTCGGTGCCGTCACTGTCACGTCCTGCCAGGACGCCCTTAGGACACAACATGGAGGACTGGTGACAGGTTGTAGCCCTCCAGGAATAACCGCCATGGCTTAAAGTTGAAGATGGTGGTGCAGCAGGAGACATGGAACCACGAGCTGCAAGATGCATATTTTTAATATAACTCTTGTAACTTTTGAATCATTGGATTGGTGTGAATGGTGTGTTTGGGTAGTTTATGTAGATTTAAATTGTGTACAATATTGTCTTATATAGCAAAGCCCTACAGCAACTCGGTATACTTTAAAAATGACTTTGAAATGACCCGCGCGCTCTTGATATGGTAACGAGAAATTGCCAATTCACTCCAGGTGCATTTATTTAATGTATGTCTTGTAACTTTTAAACCATTTGTTTAATATAAATGATGTATTCGGAAAATATGTTCATAATTCAACAATAAATAATGTTGTCTAACATCAAAAACTTCTATATCAACTCGGTATACTTTAAAAATGAATTTGAAATCAATTATCGCGCCTCACATTTAGTTCCAAAACGTTAGTATTGTTTTTGAAATATTTGATAGTGCATTTTGTTATTACGAGTCGTGTTACTTTAAAACCATTCGATTAATATGAATGATTTATTCTACCAATTTGTACAAAATTAAATGATCTAAAATACTGTCTAATATTATGAGATCCTACAGCAACTCGATATACTTTAAAATCGTAATTGAAAGTAGCATATTCAAAGCTAGTCGAGAATTTAGGTAGAATTTGTGCATGCATTTCTTATATCTCTTGTAACTTTTAAACCACTGGATTAATTTAAATGATGTTTTCGGGTAATTTGTACAAAATTAAATTATCTATAATACTGTCTAATATTGTAAGATCCTACAGCAACTCGGTATACTTTAAAAACGAATTGAAAATAACAAAAATAATCTAAGAAATTAACAATTTTTGTTCGGTGCATTTATTCAGTATATCTTTTGTAACTTTTAAACTATTCGATTAATATAAATAGTGTTTTCAGGAAATTTGTACTAAATTAAATTATCTTCAATGTTGCTTAATATCATAGGACCCTACAGCAGCTCGGTATACTCAAAAACGATAATAAAAATAAAAAAATACAAAAAGTTGGTTTTTTGTAGTTAAAAATACCAAGTCTTAGATGCAAAATAGAAAAGGTAAACAACAGGTTTGAAAAATTTATAAAAATATGTCTGTTACTCCTAAAATTTTGTAATTTTAGTGTATTATAAAGACAAATACTAAAATCGATGTGTTACATAACAAATATTTGATTTTTATAGTTTTGTACGAAAAGTACCTCAAGTCTTATTGTTATATACAAAGCTGAATATGTAAATAACAATTTTTTTAAAAGAATAATAAAATAGTTCTGTTTTTCATGGAATGTTGTAATTTTAGTATTTTATACTTTAATATGTCAACTATAAGAACAAATACTAAAATCGATAAGTTTTCCAACAAATATTTGAGTTATTTATAGTTCTATGCTAAAAGTACCTCAAGTCTTATTGTTAGATACAAAACTGAAAAGGTAAATATAAGATTTGAAAAATTTATTAAAATAGTTTTGTTACTCTTAGGATGCTGTAATTTTAGTATATTATACTTTAATATGTCTACTATGAAAACAAATACTAAAATTGAAAAGTTTTCTCACAAAGTGTCAAGATATTTACAATTTCATATTAATCGAATTATTAATTTACAATTTTATGTTAACAGTATCCTCACAAGTCTTCCATATAAAAATGAATATATAAAGAACAAATCTAAAAAAAATAAAATAAAATAGTTCTGTTTCTCCTAGCATGTTGTAATTTTAGTATATTATACTTTAATATGTCTACTATGAAAACAAATACTAAAATCGATGAGTGTTCTCACAAATATTCAAGATATTTAGAAATTTGTGTTAAAAGTACCCTCACAATTTTTCCATATAAAATTGAATATATAAAGAACAAATCTAAAAAAAAATATTAAAATAGTTCTGTTATTCTTAGAACGTTGTAATTTTAGTATATTATACTTTGATATGTCTACTATAAAAACAAATACTAAAATCAATGAGTTATCTAACAAATATTTGAGATATTTACACATTTATGTTAAAAAACCTCAGGTATAACCCATTAGCTATGAAACTGAACTAAGAGTTTAAAAACTATGTAACTTTGGAACCATTCAATTGATATGAATGATGTCTTCGGGTAATTTGTACAAAATTAAAGTATCTATAATATTGTCTCACACCAAAATGCTCTACAACAACTCGGTATACTCCAAAATCAGCCGCAAAAGTTCGTTCCTGATCTATTGCTATTATTGTTACTTTCACTTACCGCTAGATGGTGCTGGATAATTTCCTGGTGGCACCGGATAGGACAAAGCTGCAGCAGGTGGTAAATATCCTAAACCAGCCCCAGCAGATGGCATTGAATGGATATTGTGAGATATAGAACTTGTAGCAGGAGGCAATCCTGGAGGATTTATTCCTGGTGCAGGAGGATATGGAGGCTGGGCGTTGGTTGGAGGTAGGATGTTCCAGAAACTCACTAAAAAAAGAATAAAATTTTTAGAAAATAGTTGCCAAACATATTTTGTCTTAAGTCAAGTTGCATAAAAGTCCTAATAGTAAGTAAAAAAATTAAGTTTAATTTTTACTTCAAGCTTTGATGGATTTTTGTAATTTAAAACTACTTCTCGTAGGCCTATAATATTTTACAATGTTAATTCAAATTATAAATATCAGATTTAAGAGAAAAAGTATTTTTAGTTTAAACAGTTACCAAAAATGTTGCTTACTTTTTTCCAAAATTTAATAACCACACAACACAGAACAAATTTATTTTATTTTACAAACAATTAACAATTTATTTATTACTACTAATAATTAGTTAATATTTTAAAATGACACACGAATTCTACAAGAATTATATGAATAATACTTTATGATTCCATTTAATATCTTATCTTATCACTTTTAGCCATTTTTATCATAACCGCGATGTCGTGTGTAAATTTATGTTTATAATTTTGCGAAATGACTAAGAATAAAATAGGTCTAAGTGGCATTTTGCCTTAAGGCAAGTAAATAATTAAGTTAATAAATAAGAATTGAGATTCATCTATTTGGATAAATTTACATAACTAGTACTTACGAAGTCGAAAAATTTTGGCTTACATATTTTAACAAACTAGTGGTGTATGGCATCGTGCCTTAAGGCAAATTGCTGGAACTTCCCGTACCGTAATGAAATATCGGAGACGTTGTCAAATATATTATTACAAATGAGCAAAATCAAATGTAAATCATAAATCAATTTATCTCCGGAACATTAACAATCGTCATTTCATTTCGAATTCAATTTAAAAAAAAATAGTTGCCTAATTTGCACAAAATCGAAAAAGTACTCCCGTATAGTCACAGTCTAAACGCATTTGCAAATAATTCTATGCGACATTTTCACTTATACTGTGCTTAGCTTGGCGGCATTTTCATATTTTTCAATAGTTTTCACAAAATTGGAAAAGTGCTCCAGTACATAAACGGTCTGAACGCACTTGCGTAAACATTTGTACCAGAGTGGCGCTTAGACTGTGCTTAGCCCGGGTAATTTTTTGAATTTTTAATCCAAAATTACAAAAATATTTTTGAAAAAAAAAATTAGGAACAAAAATTGTTTTTCCCAAAAGCAATTATTTTGTTGAAACAAGCAGAAAGTTCTTTGAATCATTTAAATCGGACGCTTAGTTTTCTCAAAAACTGCCATTTTTTTAACATTTAGCTCTGTATCTCCGAAACCGCTGGGCCTACCTTGGCCAAAAACTAATAACCACTTTTCCCCGTCATTACGAACTGAATGTTTTTTGGATCATACAAATAGGATGCTCCGTTCTCTCAAAAACTCGATTTGTATTTTCTGCACTCTTTGCTCCGTATCTCCGTAACGGCTGGACCTGCCTTTGCCAAAAACTAATCAGCACATCTCCCTATCAATAGGGATCGAATGTTTTTTAAACCATTCAAATCGGTTGATCCGTGCACCCGAAAACGTGAACGAAAAAATGCGGACATACAAAACACATACACACACACATCCATTTTTTCTGAGGTATGCCCCTTAAAAATGTTCAGTATGCCCCTTAAAATGTATATATATATATATATATATATATATATATATATCACAAATGAATTCTGAGTGGATAATAGATATTAATTTGGAAATATGAACGAACAACACTCTTTTTTGCACTAATTTATTAAATAATAATTTTCAAAAACGCTTCGAGACTAGGTTTGTCTCATCATCAGTGTGTTATAATTTAAAATTTAAAATATGGAAATCTAAATTAGCATTTTGTGTTATCCATTACAAAAATATTGTTAAATTAGTGCAAAAAGAGTGTTGTTTGTTCATATTTCCAAATTATATATAATATATGTGTAAATATATATATATATATATATATATATATATATGTGTGTATAAATATTATATAACAATGTATGTGATATTTATCTATCATTGATTCATTTATCTCTGCACAGAAAATAATTATATCTCTCATGTCAGTATACAAAATTCCGCGTGTCTGTGCACATCGAAATAATTTTACTTTTTCTAAAAAAAAAAGTAAAATTATGAACCACCTACGAGAAAAACAAGGTAGATTTATCTAAATATATTGTTTGATTATTAATTTCCCGTAGGGTAAAATTTTGTAATCGACCAAAAATCGAAATTCAAAATTTTTGCATTTCCTCACGTTTTGAAGGTTTCTGGACATGCCTTAGAAAAATAGAATGTGTGCGTGTGTGGATACAAAAATAGTTATTTTATTTATACTACAATTTTTCTAGAAATATTTTTTATGGCTAAACAACGTTTCCGGGCCAGCTGGTATATATATATATCTACATCTTCTATATATATAAAAATAAGTCGGGTTTTTCTTCCTGATGAAATAAGAACGCACTAACCGATTTCGACAATTTTGCATTCGTTGGAAAGGTCTGTAGCTCAGAAAATTAGTCGTGCATGGCTTCGTGCCCTAATGCAAATTGCTGGAACTTCACGCACCGTAATTAAAAATTCGAGTAATGACATTAGTGAGAATTATCAGAATTATGCTTGGTTAAGTCAACGAGCAATTCTTGCCGCAAAGAATAATGATGTACACGCACTGAATTTCACCATTCAATCAAAAATTGCTGGCGATTTGGTGACATACCAATGATTCCGACTGGTCTTCCGTTTGACTTCAAACGATTGCGATTTCCAGTTCGCCTTGCGTTCGCAATGACAATTAACAAGTGGCAAGGCCAATCGCTTAGTGTTTGCGGGATAAATTTCAAATTGATCATTTAGAAAATCATTGTTTCTCACATGGGCTGTTATACGAGTTGGAAAACCATTTGCTTTGTTTGTGTTAACGTCAGACCAAAAAACAAAAAATGTGGTTTACCAAAGAGCACTTCAGTGAAACGGATAATTTGCGGATTCACTTTCATTTACTTAGAGAAGTTCAACTAAACAACACTTCATTTTTGTAATCGAAATAAATTCATTACTGTTGTGTAATAAAATCAAATTTTTCCTTTTCAAATATAAAACAAACAAAAAATTTCTTCATCTTTCTCACGAAACCATCTGGTGGCGAAACGGAGTTCGTCGTATATATATATATATAAAAGTAGTATATATATATATATATATATATATATATACTACTTTTTAGATTACTGAATGATGACACATCAAGTGTCGAAACGTTTAATGGAATAAATAATTTTGTTATTTAATCTTTTTTTTAATTCGACGGTTGGGCTGCAAAAATATTACATATATATATATATATATATATATATATATATATATTATATATATATCTACATATACTATATTTTTTCCCAGATACCACTTACCAAACGATCCATCCCCAAGAGACCTTCTCGGGCCACGTCTGGGTCGAAACCGACGTCAACCATTGTCTGGCCCTCTGCGAGACCGGAGTGGTCGGCGGTCGTGACGTCGATGGAAGTCAAATTTATTTGGGCCGGGCCAATCACAACGGCGACATCCTTCCGGCCAAAGTGATTCCTGGAAGTAGATCGGCCTACGTCTCCTATTGCGGGAAAGAGATCAGGGTGCACCAATTTCAGGTAGTAATTCAAGTATTTATTACACAATATAGTAATGAAATATTCGAGAAATTTTAAACGTTTTCAAATATATTATTACAAATACTTACTGTGTAACTTTCATTATTTTTCTTGCTATCTTATTGTTATATCTGAGCAAATCAAATGTAAATCATAAATCATAAATCAATTTATCTCCAGAACATTAACAATCGTCATTTGTCATTTCATTTCGAATTCAATTTCAAAAAAATATTTGCCTAATTTACACAAAATTGAAAAAGAACTCCCGTACAGTCACAGTCTAAACGCATTTGCAAAGAATTCTGTGCGACATTTTCACTTATACTGTGCTTAGCCTGGCGGCATTTTCACATTTTTCAATAGTTTTCACAAAATTGGAACGCACTTGGATGAACATTTGTACCGGAGTGGCGCTTAGATTATGCTTAGCCTGGGTAATTTTTTGAATTTTTCGAATTTTCAATCCAAAATTACAAAAATATTTTATGGAAAATAAAAAAGATGTGATAATTTTTTATCCTCAAAAGCAATTGTTTTGTCAATACAAGCAGAAAGTTTTTTAGATGATTCAAATCGGAAGCTTAGTTCACTCAAAAACTGCCATTTTTGCACATTTAGCTCTGTATCTTCGAAATGGCTGGACCTGTCTTTGCTAATCACCTCTTCTCCCAATCATTACAAATTGAATGTTTTTTAGATCATTCAAATCCTATACTCCGTTCTCTCAAAAACTTGATTTGTATTTTCCGCACTCTTTGCTCCGTATCTCCGTAACGACTGCATTTGCCAAAAACTAATCAGCACATCTCCCACATTAATAAGAATCGAATGTTTTTTAAACCATTCAAATCGGTTGATCCGTGTTCGCAAAATCGTCGACAAAAATTTATATCCGCGACACATCAATTTTTTCTAAGGTATGCCAAAATGTTCCGAAACCTCTGAAATGTAAAGATAAATGAAAATTTTCATTTTCGATTTTTTGCGATTGCTATAACTTACCCCACAGGAAATTAAAAATAGTATTTTGATTTTCTTAATTATGTATTTCTTAAAATTTGATAAATAGTATAGGCCTGTGGAAAGTGACGTTTTCCGAATATTTAAAAAATGTAAAATATATTTAGTTCTGTGAAACTGTAAAAAAAGATCGAAAAGGACTCTACTGACGAGCAAAATGGTAAAAAGACTGGAAAAAGATTCTGCTGCGAGTATAATGCAAAAAAGAGCAAAAAGGACTCTACTTATACGCAAAGTCTAGAAAAGATTATAAAGGACTCGACTGACTAGCAAAATGCTAAAAAGACTGGACAGGATTCTACTGACGACCAATGTCAAAAAAAGTTCAAATAGGACTCTACTGACGAGCGACCTGATAAAATATTAAAAAGGACTCTACTGACGACCGAAATGAAAAAAAATCGAAAATGATTCTGCTGACGAGAAAAATGCAAAATATGGTGAAAGGGACTCTATTGACGACCAAAGTGAAAAAAAATTAAAAAGAATTCTACTGACGAGCAAACTGATAACATGATTGAAAAGGACTCTACTAATACGCAAAGTCTAGAAAAGATTAAAAAGGACTCTACTGACGAGCTAAATGCAAGAAAGAATGTAAGGGACTCTACTGACGACCAAAATGCAAAAAAAAATGTAAGGGACTCTACTGAGGGCCAAAATACAAAAACGAATGTAAGGGACTCTACTGACGACCAAAGTGCAAAAAAGGATGTAAGGGATTCTACTGACGACCAAAATGCAAAAAAATCGACAAAGATTCTGCTGACGAAAAAAATGCAAAAAAGGGTGAAAGGGACTCTACTGACGACTACAATGTAATGAAGATTTAAAAGGACTCTACTGACGAGCAATCTACTGATAAAAATAAAAAAGTGACTTTACTGATGATCAAAAATCCTTAAAAACTAGCTCACGTGATTAATGGACGCCCCCTAAAAAGAAAGAGTACGACTCCACTGACGAGCAGAATGCTAAAAAAGAACAAGAAGGACTCTCCTAACAACCAAACCGATAAATTATCAAAAAAGATTTCACTAACAAGTATCGTAAACATAAGTCGTGCCATAGATGTGACTCCCGTACACACAGGTCGTTCTAATATTAAATTTTTCTTTTTTTATAGATGCTGGTGCGTCCTCAATATAAATGGGTCACTTGCCAAAATGGTTTTGTGCCACCAAATGCATTTCCTGCAGGAGAAACTTTGCACGGAGAAACTTTGTATGCTGGAAGAGTTACTGCACGAGGAGCCACAACCATCGGAAAGGTAACTTACACTTTATAAGGGATGACTGTATATTATTAAATAGAAGTCAATAAAACAAATTAAAAAAAAGAGTGCGCGTAAGGATCACACGCGATTGAAGTAGAACTTATTTGCTACTGTATAAAGTAGCAAATTTAAGTTGAGTAAAAATAAATACATCATATAAAAATTTTGAATAATGTTTATTAGTAATATGGTAACACTCGTGATGCACACATTTATTAGTGTCTCGTCAACCATTATAACATTTATATAATGATAAATTATAAATTATATATTTATGATTGCATTAATAATATGTATAATATTTATAAACAATAATGTAATCAAAGTCGTACTTGAAATATGACATGATCGTTTTAAAGTAATTGCTGATTAATAAATTCTATAATATTCATTCACACAGTGGATTATGTTAAACAACGCCTAAACAAATATTGTTTTTGCAAATTAACTCATCCTGTAAGAATTGTGTTTGAAGAACTTCATGTAATTAAAATTAACATACATTCATTCACTGTTTGTATTTTTTAACTTTTTCGCTGACGATATAATCTCATTCCTCGAACAGCTGTAATATCCGTCTTGGCTAACAAATTGAAGCCATACTTTTATATTTGTTTTATTTATTAAGCCCTGCACATAGCTTGATCTATGTATAGGTGAAATTAACCTTTCAGATACAGTATCTAGTTTAGGTAGATAATTTGGTATAGGTGGAAATACAAACTCGTTAAATTTACACAAAGTGGGAATTTTACCCGAATTTAATATCTATCGACAAGTTTGACATCCAACCTGATTATTTGAATCAATATTAAAAAAACATTATTAAACATTTGATATTTCTAAGCCACTTTGAAGCCAAAGTCGATCACACACAAAACATACATAGCCAAAACTATCATTTCTTACGCAGCGCAGATTTTTCCTTAGTTTCATTATTTATTTGCGATCATTTGCACTACAATTATTTATGGGGGACGGGATAAAATATTTTTCCGATCCTGACATTTTTATTAACTCACGAATTATATTGCTAACCCATGTCGCGCCTAAAGAAGTTTTACTTCAAAAAATGTTTAGAGACTACGAGCTAAATACAAAACTCAAGTGAAAGTCGACACATTTTTTGTTTGTTTTTGACATATGATTTGACATTTGATGTATTTTTTGTTTTGCTCGCAGACTAGATCGATTAATTGCGATAGCTGCGCTTACTAGCGTCGTAGTCTTCAACTTCACGTTGGCGTTTTCGTTGCATTTGTACGGATTTACACCCGTGTCGCGCCTAAAGAAGTTTTTACACCCATGTCGCGCCTAAAGAAGTTTTACTTCAAAACTTACTCTTGGTTTTTTGCTAAAACACTCTCACATATTTATGGAAACTCTCTGGATATTCCACTTCATTTTTACGTTTTTTCCTAGTAATTGTAAGATTAATGGGGTGATTCTGCCGTTACAGAGTTTATTAAAATAGCGTCGGTAGTGAAAATTATGCAAATGTCTTTCTATTTGCATTTAATATTTTGTAGCATTAGTTATAAATACTTTGGTTTGTTCATCACAGGTTCATCCCAGTCATAAATGCTGTTACATCCCCTTTTGTGGAAAAGAAGAAAAACACGACGTTTACGAGGTGCTGGTGATGACTCAACCACCGACACCACCGCCATACAGTTATTATTAATTGAATAATTCATTAATCAAAACTAATGGATAGGTAAAATATATATCACCAAAGCGTCTCAAAGAAGAATATGCAATGATTTACTACAAAATATCACATAACATCTAAGGGTGCTATCGCAGGATAGCAATCCTTCTCACGCAGTCAAATAATATGTAACTGTAACAATAAATAGCTGAATGTACTTTGTATAGCTTGCTATGAAAAATAAAAAGAAAAATCAAATATTTAAAAAAAATGAATAAAATACTAATAATGCTAATATGTGCAAATAATCGATTTAATCAATAAATATTCGATTGGTTATATGGTCTCTACCTGTCTTACCAGTTGACCTGGTTGAAAACTACTTGTCTTCATTTCTACATGCCTATATATATCTACCTGTTCACATAATCAAAAACAGCTTGCATGGAATAAAAGTAAATTTTATCTAATTTCTCTTGAGTTAAATAAAAAAGAGTGTCCCTGACAAAGTTTTTGAGTTATTTAAAAAAAATGTAGAAAATGTCCCGAAATTTTGTATGGAAAACTTAAGACAAAATATGTATATGTATATGTAATATGTAAGGGCGAATGCAGATTGGATTTATGCAAAATTTTCATAAAAGACTATATTAAACTGGAGAAAAATTTAGCAAATTTTATCTAGTTTCTGCTAAGCTAACTAAAAAAGGAGTGCCCGGGACAAAGTTTTTGAGTTATTCAGAAAAATGTAAAAAATGTCCCTGAATTTTGTATGGAAAACTCAAGACAATATTTAAAGCCGAGTGCAGATGGGATTTATGCAAAATATAAAAAAAGTTTGAAAGAAAATGTAGCCATTTTTTTAACTTACTAAATGTAGTTCATCTAGTTTTTGCAGAAAGAGTGTCATCAAAGATATTTTCAATGTATTCTGAAAAATGTAAAAAGATGTCCCTAAATTTGGTATAGAAACTTGGGACAATATGTAAGGGTAAGTTCACATCGAGTTTATTGAATTTTTTTTATGATAATATATTAAACTGTTTATAGAGAAATTTAGTACATTTTATCTAGTTTCTTATAAGCTAACAAACAAGAGGGTCCCGGAACAAAATTTTTGAGTTATTTGAAAAAAAGTATAAAAGTGTATCGAATCCATATATTATAAATATGTAAAATACTTTAGGGCGAGTACAAATTGTTCAAAATTTTGGTATCAAAGTGTATAAAACAGTTTATATGAAATTTTAGTAAATTTTATCTAGTTTCTGCTAAGCTCACAAAAAAAGAGTGTCCCGGAACAAAATACTTGAGATATTTAATAAAATGTATAAAAGTGTCCTGAGCCCATCTATTGTTAAAGTGCAAAATACATTAGGGCGTGTTTAAACTATACGACATTTTTGTATATGTGTGTATAATAAAGTTTATGTAGGATTAAGTGTATAAGACAGTTCATGTAGAATTTAGGTAAATTTTATCTAGTTTCTGCTAAACTAACAAAAAAGAGTGTCTCGGACAAAATTTTCGAGTTATTTAATACAATGAATAAAAGTGTCCCATCACCCTATATTGTAAATATGCAAAATACATTAGATCGAGTACAAGCTATTCAAAATTTTTGTATCAAAGTGTATAAGATAGTTTATGTAGAATTTTAGTAAATTTTATCTAGTTTCTGCTAAGCTAACTAAAAAAGAGTGCCCGGAACAAAATTTTCGAGTTATGAAAAAAATATCCAGGTTCGATTCGTACTTTAACCATATAAACTCTCTCTATAATCTACAAAATCAATAACAACGATACAAAAATAAATAATCTACAAAATCAATAAACTCTTCATCAAGGTTAATTATTCAATTTCCCGATAATCAATCGCAAACCTAATAGTTATCATCGTTGACTGATAATGTTATCTGCGGGCAAAAAAAAAACACGACGGAAAAGATTTATTATTTTATTTAATATAAAACGTGAAGTACTAGATTCCGGTTGACCGGAGTTAACAACCTGTTGAAATTATTCCGGAATAATCGATCGAGATTGTGAACTAATATACCATGTATAAAGCGAATCTCTTTCATCCGGGTAACACCAGTCCGGATCCGCCCGGACATAAATGGGTAAGTATTAGGAAATATTTTATTTATTTATTCAAAGCACAAAGCAATTTTAATTCAAGTTAACCGACCTGTGTGTACGAGTGTCGCCTATGAACTATAACCGATTGCTTCACGTTAAATTATTGAGAATTCTAATTCGTTATCGTGATTTTTAAATTTTTTTCTAAATTTTGATGGTCAGTGGTCTTCTTTTTAATATTTATCAGTTTGCTCGTCAGTAGAGTCTCTTTTATTAACTTCTCGTAGGGTATGTTATAGTAATCGCAAAAAAATCGAAAATAATTTTTTTGCATATTTTTATGCTTCAGAGGTTTCTGAACATTTTGCCATACTTTAGAAAAACAAGTTTGAATTATTTTCGTTATTTTGCAGGTTGACACCAGCGTGGACACATGTCACCTTCTATTGGAAAATGCAGTCAAGTGCGGCCACGACAATAATGGTCACGACATGTATTTGGGTCGTGCCCACCACGATGGTGATACCCTTCCTGCCAAAGTCATACCCCAAATAAGGGCTGCTTTTGTGTCTCATAATTGCACCGAAATATCTGTGTCGAAATTTCAGGTAGTCTAATACAACTTATAAAACAATCATAAATTGATATGTTGATTATGTCAACTATTGCCACTTGTACCTAGTTTTTTTTTTAGATGTTAGTCCGACCAGCATATCATTGGATAAGGTCTCGAAATGGGCAAGTGCCACTCGATGCTGTTGTGGCTGGCAGAACTTCTACAGGGGAAAATTTATATGTTGCCAGAGTTTCGGCTAATGGGGCTCTAACAGTGGGAAAGGTAAATATAGACAGGGTATCCCAGAAAAAATTACATATTCAAAAAATTATTTAGAAGTTTCATTCTGTCAAAAATTCATATGTTTGGCATTGGATACGAAATATTTACTCAAGTCAATGAAGTGTTTTGCGTCTGAGTTTTTTTTACTGTGCTTCAATTCGTATGGAATTTTGGAATTAGGTTTATCTTACTATCAAGTTCAAAAGTGAAAATAATTTAGACTCCTTTGCCACTTCCCGGGGGGATGACATCCCTTTTCAGTGATGCAATTGTATCTCTTTCAAAATAACGTCGTATATCGATAAAAGAACTAATTATAAGAGAAAAATGTTTAATAATGTTGTTCAAAAAAGCAAACAGGCTACTGAAAATTTGTTTCTCTTTGCGTTTTTCATCATTTTTTGCTGATATCTTTAAAAATATACATTTTAACGAAAATCATGTAATGGACAAAATTATATCAATTAAAATCTTAATAAATCGGTGTTCTATAAAGTGTTCTAGGAACAATATTAGGCTAGATATGAAAATGGGGTTTTATAGTACTCAAAATAAGCTTTAAAATGAGTACTTCTGCGTGTAAAATGAGTGAACTATCATGCAAATAAAAGAGACGCATACAATGTTTTTTTCATTTATATCAAATAGTTTATGAGTGCCATTTCCACCAAATTAAAATTAATTGGATTCTATCTAGAATTAACTTGGTTCAAGAGATCTTAATGGATTCTTGAAAATATAACGACTTTGGTACAAACGATTTTCAAAAAGCTCATGATTTCATACAAAAAAATCAATTTAAAAAAAAACAGCCAATTTCTCATTATTATATCAGTGAAAGAATAAAAGATACGTATAAAGCTATATAGATGAAAAGTCAAGGACTTTTTCTGACCAATTATTGCTTTTTATTATTTTTCCGTTACACAAATATTGTTAGAGTTATGATTGTTTAAATAGTGCGCGGCTGTCCAACCAGAGTGCCTTTCGAGCCCTTTAACCCTTCGCCGTTTCAAAATAAGATAAGTTACGGTAAAATTTATGATATAGAAAGTTGTAGCTCATTTAATTACCTTTAAAATAGTGAATTACAAGTTAGGATAAAATCAGAATTAAAAGAGTTAAAATCCAAATAATGCGCGGGGTGGTGACGGAGTGCAAATTGTTTTCACTTCTGAACTTAAGATTAATATTAGACTGTTTCCAAAATATCAAGCAAATTGGAGCACAGTAAAAAAAAATCACAGGGCACACGCTTTTTTCCTCTACATTTACTGCAATAATTTTGTTGATGGTAGATTGAATAGAGCACATGCGAACAGAATTTGAGAAATTAATTCACTTCAAATATGAACTTAAGTAATAATGTATATTGAATTATAGTGAGAAAAATGTAATTTAGATATTAAAATTACGGTAAGCTAGTTAAAATATGGTACGAAGTAATAAAAATTATAGACAACATTATTGAATCAATTATTTTGGGTAGAAAAATCCAAGGTGATATTGTACCTTTACCGCGAATGCTATATATTAATTGTTTCTGAATTTGTTAGATTTTTTAAAAGACTGCAATTTCCAATACGTGTATCTTATATTATTAAAGAAATAATTAAAGTGTTAACTGGGGGAATTGAGAATCATCATTTTATTTGAAGCAGTTCTGCATTTAACATCAAACTTATATATTGGTGCAAATAGTAATTCGAAAAACGAAATTATTATTCTTAACTGAACGGCAAATATTAGTATAGGTTATTAAAACAACGTAGATGTGGGTACAGGACAACGTCTGTCGGGTCATCTAGTATATATATATATATATATATATATATATATAAATATATATAAATTACCTTCAATTTAAATCCTCTGCCGAAAGTCTAAATATATAACATAAATTTAGACCATCTTCATTCTTTCAACAATTCAAAGTTCTTTTTTCCCACACCAACTTTTCCATCTGAAACTTTTGCGCAAAGTATTAATAATATTTTATTATACATTATTATAATAGTATGTTCTATACTCACCTCTTAAGAAAAGAATATCCTATTGATAATAATTATAAAATTTTAATTATGTTCTTTCAAAATATTTTGATTGTTTAATTTTACACATTTTGATTGTTATATTTTACACTTTTTTGAAATAATAATGAACTTATACAGTCAACCTTCCGATAACGCGATACTCCTACAATAACTCATAACTTTTTTCAGCGCAACCTATGAATGACTCTAGTAACTAGAAATCGTTGTAAAAGGTTTGAATATCGACTATTTTAACTTTTATATGAAAACATGCCAGTTTATATTAGACATTGGTTTTAGTAGTGTCAGCGCTCTATCACAACACTTTAAAAAAAATCTGCTTCAAATTTTATTGTTTTAGAACAGATTTTACTTTAGCACCTGTTACATTTTTTTTCTTATCTATATCCCTTAAATTTAATAAAAACTGAAATATTTATCATATTTAATGTGTATCATATATCTTGTATTATTTGTTTCCGTATAACGCGGTGCAAATGCTGAAATTTGTAATAGTGTTTTTTACAACACGCTACGAACTTGCCGGGATGTGAGTTTCTTATACCGCGGTTTCCATATAACGCAATCCGCGTTATAACAGGGTTAACTAAAGTTCAAAAAATAATTTTTAATCGAATAAATATTTTTTCCCCCAGGTTCACCCAAGTCATGGATGCTGCTACATCCCTTACATGGGCCGAGAAGAAAGATACCAAGATTATGAAGTTTTGGTTATAAAATATTAATTGTAAAATTATTAATATAAAATTAAATTATTTTGAAAAAGAAACACGATTTTTCGATTCCTTATATTTACAATGTTTTTATTAAAATGCCTACATAATTTTACTCATAAAAATTCCTTCAAACTAATAATAATAATAATCTTAAGGCTAAGCAGAAATTTTTGAAATTACTTCACTATACAAAGAGCATAGAAAATTCATGACGACTCCATAAAATTTGTAAAATAATAAATATATATATATATATATATATATATTATATATATATATATATATATATTAGGGTGGTCCTTAACAAGGACATTTTCGAATTTTTTTTGCTCCCAGGGGCGAAATTGCTTCCAAATAAAAAAAAAATGATTCTCTGAAAGTTTTAGCTCTTTTTATAAACATTTAGATAGAGCGCACAATAAAAATTACTTGCATCTGTTTGTTACTAATATGTGCTCAAGAAATGTCAATCTATAAATTCGTGCGCCATCTGTGATCATTGATCGTGAACTCAAATCGTATGATACATAAGAATATTTATAAACCACATAACATGCACATAACCTCTTCTTAAATACATGTGAGCTGTTCTATTAATCTATTCATCATGGCATCAAGAATAATTTTGCAGCAAAATATCGTCACCAATAAATAAATATTTTGCTGCAAAATTGATGCCATGATGAATAGATTATAGAACAGCTCACATGTATTTAAGAAGAGGTTTGTGCATGTTATGTGGTTTATAAATATCTTATGTATCATACGATTTGAGTTCACGATCAATGATCACAGATGGCGCACGATTTTATAGATTGACTTTCTTGAGCACATATTAGTAACAAACAGATGCAAGTAATTTTTATTGTGCGCTCTATCTAATGTTTATAAAAGAGCTAAACTTTCAGAGAATCATTTTTTTTTTATTTGGAAGCAATTTCGCCCCTGGGAGCAAAGAAATTCGAAAATGTCCTTGTTAAGGACCACCCTAATATATATATATATATAATATATATATATATATATATATATATATCTGTATAGTATAATTAAATATTATTTTTTCAATTTCTGAACTATAAGTCTCTTTTATTATTCAAAAATTCATGTTTTTAATTTTTCAATTTTATTCAAAGTTTCGCAGAAGTGGGATGTCATCTGAGTCACGAAATATTGTTAACAATTAAAAAAAATTATACGTTTATATACTTATTTTAATTTTTTTTTAAATTTGAAGTATTCACCCCTTATACCTTTGTAACTAAATATTTTTTAAATAAAACCAAACTAAAATGCGACACAGAATGAATTAAATCTCCCATCTTTTAAAGATGTTTTATCTAAAGTGTTTTATTTTATAAATTTATGTAAAAAAGTTCAGAAATAATACCAATAAATAATTTATACAGTATTTTTAGTCTTGGTATTTATAATAACTTCTTTTTTTATAAAGTGTAGAAGTGAATTCTTTAATTTTTTAAATAATTAATAAAGTGTATAAATATATAAAAGAAAATTCTGTTCGCTTTTGAGAGTTTTCAAGGAAAACATCCAACATCTTTGAAACGTCGAAATAGATATAAATAAATTATTAAATAAATTAAAGAGACTTCGTTCAGTATATATTTATATTATATATATATATATATATATATATTAATGTGTGAGTGTATATGCAAATGGTATTGGACAAAGAATAATCGACTGGTATAAAATTTTAGAAAAAGAATTTTATTGCCGTGGATTTTTTTTTAATAATGACTATATATTTTTTTTAAACAATAAGTTACTCAATAAATTGCTCAAGATTCTTATGTTAAGTATATGACATTTTATTTCTTAGAAAAATGTTGAGGATTTCATAAAGGGTATAATAGTGTCAAAAAACAGTTTAGTTCAAAAAATAATTTTACAACCAATTCATAAGTCTCAAAGAGCTTTAAGGGCTTCAGACCAATTATAACCAATAAATTGCTCAAGATTCTCATGTTATGTATATAATATTTTATTTCTTAAAAATATATTCAAGGGCTTCGAAGGGTTTGATAGTGTAAAGAAAAGGTTTCAAAGGAAAAAAATTATTATATAATTCTTAAGTCTCAAAGCGTTCTGAGTAAAAAACAATTTTGAGTATTATTTTGAGCCAAAAAAGGCTAAAAAACTGTTCTTATTAATAAAAATTAGGTAAGTAAGTATAATATTAATCACGTGAGGTTTTTAGGATTTGACAAAAAATCACGAAATATCATGTGGGGGATAGAGGGGTGTTCGATATCACACGAAGATATCACAAATTTTATCATTTTTTCTCGTAACTTAAAATATGCGTAATGTTTGTTGGGGAGGAGGGGGCTAATTTTCAATATTACGATTTTTTTTATAAATCCAAGTATTTTCAAAGAAATCAAAAGTTGTACAATTTTTTCTTGTCTAATCCCACAATCAATAATTATCTGGGCAAATCTGCCTCAGAAAATAGCATTGTCAAGGCAATACTATCTTATGCTTGTTTCTTGTCAGTAAAACTGTAAAAATGTCTATCTATTTGCTGTGCGTATTTTACGTATAAACAAGCAAGAAAGAATGCATCATCAAAGTTTCTGTTATCGTAAGAGATGCAAAAATGACGAAATAATCTCAAAAAAATAAGCCCTTAGATTTAAGTCTATCAAAGTATAAAAGGAATGCTCTTGAGCCACAAAAAAGGCACCTACAATATTTGAGTATCTTGACAAAAAAATCAAAGTTAAATATTTGGTTTGAAAAAAACTTGATGAGTAAATACAGATTCAAAACAATACAAAAGGTATAAATCAAATAAAATTAAAAATTCCACAATCAATAATTATCCAGGAAAATATGCCTCAGAAAATAGCATTGTCAAGGCAATACTATCTTATGCTTGTTTCTTGTCAGTAAAACTGTAAAAATGTCTATCGATTTGCTGTGCGAACAGACGTATTTTACATATAAACAAGCAAGGAAGAATGTTACCATAACATTCTTTCTTGCTTGTTTATATGTAAAATACGCCCGATCGCACGGCAAACAAATAGACAATTGTTACTACCGTTGCCATGACAATGCTATTTAGTGTAATTATGTAAATGTCTATTGGCCGTGCGATCAGGCGTATTTTACATATAAACAAGCAAGGAAGAATGCATCATCGAAGACTTTGTTACCATAACATTCTTCCTTGCTTGTTTATATGTAAAATACGCCTGATCGAACAGCAACTACATAGATATGTTAACATTTTTCTTATTCCTGTATCATTTTACCGCCAGTCGATTACCCCAGTCCTCGACAACCTCTCGAGCCCAAGTTCGATGAATCGAACAATAATTTCTATATACAACAAAATAAAACCTTATTTAGAATAGTTTTTGAATTAAGTCTATTATATTTATTATTCATTATTATCGTAACTAATTCTCGTCGTACAGAGGTGTCGCATCGCCTATCGACATCGATCTTGGCGAATTGATTGTTTGAGGAGTCGATCTTACCGATCTCGGCGATTTACTTGACATTCTGTCGGAGTACTGCGGAGTCTTTCTGGAGTCTCCGGCGCTTCTGGAGTCTCCTTGGCGGGGGGTTCGGTTGGAGCCACTGGGGAAAGAAAGAGAAAGAATGGGTAAAAGATCATATTTATTCGTCATTAATTAAAGTCAAGTCAAGTCAAGGTTAAACTTTCCAGAACTTGTTTCATGTTAAGAGTGCTTAAATCTAAAATTAGTTTAAATTGTCTTCTTTCTATCTATTACTCTAACTTCTCTGATACTGCTTTTTTTTTCAGAAAAGCTTCTAAACTTTTTAATAATTTCTGCGAATTAATGGATATACAGGACCTCAACTTTTGAAGATGCTCTAAACGAAGACGCAATATCAAGTTTCATCAAATCGAGACACAAAATTAAATTAGTTTAGCACTCATTCATTTGTATTTAATATTATATTTGGTTGTTTTGTTATTTAATTGTAAAATTGTGAATTGTATATCTAATACATCTAAATATATCTAAAAGACTCATTAACTCATGTATGTATGTGTGGATACAAAAAACTGATTCTTGCAAACTGGAATTCTTATTAAAATATTTATTATAATTATTATGCTAATTACTAACCTTCCTCTAGGTGTACCCAAACGAGGACTCTGCCCATCTTTGTTTTTCAGTTTAGCCCAGGCTTCTGCTGCTTTTTGCCAGTCCATCACATCATTCTTTGAACTACCACCATAAGGATTCCTGAAAAAAATAAACAATCATTGTAAATAATAATCCAACAATAATCAAAAAATGAATTCTTAAAGATGTAATAAAAATTCTATATTGTACATAACAAATTATATATATACACTAGCAAACCCGACGAACTCCGTTTCGCCACCAGATGGTTTCGTGAGAAAGATGAAGAAATTTTTTGTTTGTTTTATATATGAAAAGGAAATAATTGATTTTATTATACAACAGTAACGAATTTATTTCGATTACAAAAATGAAGTGTTTTCTAGTTGAACTTCTCTAAGTAAATGAAACTGAATCCGCAAATTATCCGTTTCATTGAAGTGCCCTTTGGTAAACCACATTTTTTGTTTTTTGGCAACGTATAACTGCCCATGTAAAAAACAATGATTTTCTAAATAATCTAATTGAAATTTATCCCGCAAACACTAAGCGATTGGCCTTGCGACTTGTTAATAGTTATTGCGAACGCAAGGCGAACTGGAAATTGCAATCGTTTGAAGTCAAACGGAAGACCAGTCGGAATCATTGGTATGTCACCAAATCGCCAGCAATTTTTTATTGAATGGTGAAATTCAGTGCGTGACAATCATTATTCATTAAGAATTGCTCGTTGACTTAACCAAGCATAATTCTAATAATTCTCACTAATGTCATTACTCGAATTTTTAATTACGGTGTACTATACTATAAACCCTGCGGAGCCCGAGACCTTTCCAACGAATGCAAAATTGTCGAAATCGGTTCTTGCGTTCTGGAGTTATTTCGTCAGGAAGGAAAACCCGACTTATTTTTATATATATGTAGAAGATAGTTAGATGTGAAGCTAATTAAATGTGAATTAGTCAGTCAGATGTGAAGTTAGTCAGTTAGTTCAATGTGAAACTAGTCAGTTAGTTCAATGGGAAGCTGGTCAGTTAGTTCAATGTGAAGCTAGTCATGTAGTTACATGTAAAGTCATATAGTTAAATGTAAAGTCATGTAGTAAAATGTAAAGTCATGTAGTAAAATGTAAAGTCATGTAGTTAAATGTAAAGTCATGTAGTAAAATGTAAAGTCATGTAGTTAAATGTAAAGTCATGTAGTAAAATGTAAAGTCATGTAGTTAAATGTAAAGTCATGTAGTAAAATGTAAAGTCATGTAGTTAAATGTAAAGTCATGTAGTAAAATGTAAAGTCATGTAGTTAAATGTAAAGTCATGTAGTAAAATGTAAAGTCATGTAGTTAAATGTGAAGTTAGTCAGTCAAATGTAAAGATAGTTAGTTCGATGTGAAGCTAGTTAGTTCGATGTGAAGCTAGTTAGTTCGATGTGAAGCTAGTTAGTTCGATGTGAAGCTAGTTAGTCCGATGTGAAGCTAGTTAGTTCGATGTGAAGCTAGTTAGTTCGATGTGAAGCTAGTTAGTTCGATGTGAAGCTAGTTAGTTCGATGTGAAGCTAGTTAAATGTTAAGTTAGTCAGCATGAAGTTAGTGTCAGGCATGAAGTTAGCGTCAGGCATGAAGTTAGTTTCAGGCATGAAGTTAGTCAGATATGGCGTCGTTATAGTTGTGAGCAGATGCTGCCTGGCGTTTTTGCAGTTGTTAAATATAGGTATGTTGACGAAATATCGGTAAAAAAATTAAATATCGGTCTCTTCAAAAACATCATTATTAATTAATAGTAATAAAAATGGTCATGCAAATATTTTGTCAGCTTTCGTGACATATATAACTTCAGGAATTAGTAATAAGATTATTTTTATTACATATATTACTATTATTATTAAATATATATTTTTTGTGTTATAAAAATTAGTTTTTAATCTTTTTGTAGGTTATACAGATTGAGTATTCGTACCTGTTACTTTGTGTCCTAGGCGATTGACTACTCGATGAATGAGAGGAAGGTGTCGGTGCACTGCTCAAGGATCCAGGATGTAAAAATCCTTGATTGTACCTTGGTGTGGTATGGTATGGTGTCATGAAGGGAGTCTGACCACTCGGAGTGTAAGGCTAAAAAAAAATAATTTCATAAAATCCTATGTCGAAACGTTTGGAAAAATTAAAGATTAACTTCTAAATCTTTGCCTTTTATTTGATGTATGCCCTTGAAGAACTTACTCATATTTCTCAACATCAAAATTAACTACTTTAACATATATATATATATATATATATATATATATATATATATAAATTTATAAATATACTTACAGTATTTATATAACCACTGGCCGCATATCCTGGTGTATGTGCATAATGTGGTGTTTGGTTTGCGACTTGACTGAGCGAATGCAACATGTGCGAAGGCAAATTTTGAGCAACCCTTTGTATCGCTTCTGGATTCATAGCTGAAAAAAAAAAACAATTCATAGTTATAATAAATACCAGTGATAATTTCAATCTATTTACACATTGTACAATCATAAATTTCTTTAGAGTTAGTAACAAAACGAATAAAAATACCCGCACGAGTCTCCGAAACGGGTATTTTCACCCGCCCCGCTTATAATAGTGTGTTAATAATAATTTAATTACACTTACAATTTCCTCCAGGCGTTGTAAAGTTTGTTCGTGACGACATCATCGTCCTGGGGGTACTTGGGGTTGAACCAGGAATTGGTTCTTGGAAATGCTCTTTGAACCATTTTAGGGTAGCATTTAACTAAAAATAAAAAAACAAAATTAGGACTAACTACACGAAAGAACCGATTCTGCCGCATAACAAACCAATGTTATGGCAAGGCTATGTTATGAAGAACTTTCCATACTAAATATTGACAAAAACATGCGGTTGGTGTGCAGTGAGGCGTATTCATAAGGTAGTCAGATAGAAAAACTAACCTAGAAACCGCACAAATGTCAAAAAATGTTAGATAACAGGGTCTTTCTGACTCAGCTTCATAACATACGAGTGACGTTGCAGTTTATGTGTAAAACGCCTGAATGCACAACAAATACATAACATTTTGACAGTATTTAGTATGATTCAGTGTATGAAAGTTGGAGCGTAACATGGCCTTGCCATAACATTTTTCTATTATAAGTGTAATTTTATTTTACCGATGTGAAATTCCTTTGCCTGAACCTGAAGCCGTTGGGTGTAACCGTGATATATTCGTGACGACACTTTGTTTTGGGCAAATATGATAATAAAAACTTTCCTGGGTAATTTTTGGCGGCGGATATGAAATAGTGAATCTTGGACGAGTTCTTTTTCTTTTCCTCCTTCAAGGCCTCTTCAGATTTATCTTTCAAACCTGAGAAAAAAGGTCAGAAATAAAATATTCAGGTAATTTAGATTATTGTCCTGATATTGGTCTTTTATACTTGCCGTGTGTATCAATGTAGTATTTGAAATTCAGAATATCTCGAACATTGGAAGACATAGGATTGACGTGTCTTGCAATGATTTCATCTAAGTCTTCGAACTCTTCATTGCCGATCCACAATCTTGACCCTAATGAGAACTCGTTTTCCTTGCCTGTTTCTTTGACATCGATGTGCTGATAGATTTTATCTGTGACTTTCCAAGTTACTGTCAGATGATCGGCACCTGAAAGAAAAAATATTATGGAAGAGAATTGATAAATTTAATCCTTTTGCTACAATCTGCAATATTTAGAGTGTAGTTTGAAGAAATTAACAATACCTTTACTCGATGGCCTGATGATGACTTCACCTTGTGGCACTTGGTCCATGATCTTCTCGGCTTCGACAAACGATATATTGTGGAAGGAAGGATGAACAATGATCTGGAACAAAAAGAAGACAACATGAGACAGAAAACACATTTAGGAACCGACTCTGCCGGATAACAGAAAAATGTTATGGCAAGGCCATGTTATGAAGAACTTTCCATACTGAATATTGTCATAAGCCATGCGGTTGCTTTGCAGTCAGGCATATTTATAAGGTAGTCAGATAGAAAATTTAACTCAAAAATCGCACAAAAGTCAAATAAACTATGTTAGATAACAGGGTCTTTCTGACTCGGCTTTATAACATACGAGTGACGTTACAGTTTATGTGTAAAACCCCTGAATGCACAGCAAATACAAGACATCTTGACAGTATTCAGTATGATTCAGGAAGTTCAGTATTTGTTATCATAGTATATACATTTATATATAACATTTCCAAATTTTAGGTTTGTAGCACACAGGGTACGCCCTGAAGAGCCCTTCAAAAATTTACTTGCACTAACATAAGAATTTATTATATGAACATGTTTATTAGTATTTTTAGGTACTTTTGTCAAGTAATTATTTTTAACTAGGGTAGTTATAGTAATGGGCCGAAAATCGAAAATGAAAATTTGTTTTAATTTTTTTTTTCAAAAAATATTTTTGTAATTTGGATCAAAAATTCAAAAAATTACCCAGGCTAAGCACAGTCTAAGCGCCACTCTGGTGCAAATGTTCACCCAAGCGCGTTTAGACTGTTTATGTACTGGAGCACTTTTCCAATTTTGTGAAAACTATTGAAAAATGTGAAAATGCCGCCAAGCTAAGCACAGTATAAGTGAACAAATCGCACAGAATTACTTGCAAATGCGTTTAGACTGTGACTATACGAGAGCACTTTTTAAATTTTGTGTAAATTAGGCAACTATTTTTTTTTTTTGAAATTGAATTCGAAATGAAATGACGATTGTTAATATTCTGGAGATAAATTGATTTATGATTTACATTTGATTTGCTCAGATATAACAAGATAGCAAAAATAATGAAAGTTACAATATTTGTAATAATATATTTGAAAACGTTTAAAATTTCTCGAATAATTCATTACGATACGGGAAGTTCCAGCAATTTGCTTTAAGGCACGATGCTATACACCACAAGTTAATATTTTTGTGATCAAAATTGCATAAATTTTAGAATTTGCCATTACAGTCGATACATTCAAGTATAACATGCCAAAATTTTAGCTTTGTAGCATAAACGGTATGTCCTGAAGAGCTCTTTGAAAATTCTCTTTTTCTAAGTAATGATTGTATGAACATTCTTCTTAGTAGATTTTGTCACTTAAGGGGCACAACTAGTGTGAAATTTCAAAAAAATCGATTTTTGTTTTTTTTCATATTTCGGCAGATTACACCTTTAAAAATAACATATTAAAATTTCAAATCGATATCTCAAATATTTTTGAGTTACAGCCATTTAAAGATTGTATATACAGTATATAGTATAACGATCATTTTATCTTTAAACGCGTTTTTCTCGAAACAGCATTTTCCGAAATTGCTGCAGCGATTACTCAAAAACAAATGATCCGATCACTATCGAATTTTTTTATATGTTCTATATATAGTTCTCCGTAAAATGAACTATCGATTTTTTGATCGGATCAAAAATCGAATTTTGGCAGTCGAAAAACGACCAAAATTTTGGGTAAAATTCGTCTTTTTTTAAAAAAACGCTGTCATTTTGTCAGTTTTTGATTTTTTTTTCTTTATCGTAGTTCATTTTACAGACAATATTATCTAGTTTAACGAGAATTTTTTTTTTTGATTTCATCCACGTAGAAGGCCGGAATCACTGCAGCAGCGAAGGGCCTTTTTTTGTCGCGCCGTTGGAGATCGACGATAACTTAAAAAATATTTAATTTTTTTCTTCAAAAATTTTACTATGTATTCTTAAAACACGTATAAATATATTCCCAAAATTTTGAAATTATTTATAAAGTAGTTTTTTTAATATAAATTTCCAAAAATCACCGCCAAATCACAAGTTTTTTATAGGCGGTTACACTAGTTGTGCCCCTTAAATTAGTCTTACTAATAACTGAAAAATTCATCTTACCCTTTTGACATACTGCTGCCTAGCTTTCATTTTCTTAGCCTCAGCTTCATGCCGAATATCCTTCTCCTCCGAAACCTGATCGTAATAAGGATCCTTCGGAGGCCTCCACTCGTTATTCTTATCCGCCAGATCCGAACTCTTAGACGAACAATCCACCGAAAACCTTTCCACATCGATTTTGATAATCCTACAATGTATAGTCTGACCCTGCTGCACCCTCTCCTCCGGATTTTTCACATGTTTATCCGATAAATTCTTTATATGAATATAACCCGACAGGCCATTATCTAATCTCAATCTGACTCCTACGGCTTGGCCAGGACAAGAGCCCGAATCGAAATGAGACCAGACTTCGGAGAGTTCGGGAAAATCGTTTTTGAGACAGAATGGACATTGCCATAGGCCTGTTTCGTCGTTCCTGACAGGATTGGCCTGATCTAATTGTTCGCCTTGGGGTTTTCGATGACGGATGCCGATTACTGTGGCCATTACCATTTTGCCTATGAAGAAGGTCTCTGGAGTCTCTTTGGTCAGCATGTCGAAGAGTTCTTCGGGGCTCGGACTTTGGAATGGGACTCTGAGGTCTTTGTACCTGGGGGAGGAAATAGACACAAGATTTAGATACAAATCATAAATAATAAGAAATATTGCTAAATGATATTTTACGAACACGCGCTTGGAACATACAAGGTGTATGTCCCAAGAGCGCGGCGGTAAAAACCAAGATTTCACATTTTTTCAACTTTTAACTTCCCGTAGGGTAAGTTATAGTAATGGGCCGAAAATCGAAAATGAAAATTTTTGCATATATTCACGTTTCAGAGGTTTCTGAACATTTTGCTGTACCTCAGAAAAAATCGATGTGTGTTTTTTATATTTTTATTGTTTTTCGTAAATCATAAATTATTTGAAACCTAAATGTGAAATGCGGAAAAAACAAGATTTCTTATACACATTTTTTCAACTTTTAACTTCCTTTAGGTTAAGTTATAGTAATGGGACCGAAAATTGAAAATGAAATTTTTTTGCAAGTCTTAACGTTTCTAAGGTTTCTGAACATTTTAGCATACGTCAGAAAAATGTATGTTTTTTGTATGGTGAAGATAAAGTATCCCAGTTTTATTAGTTTATTTATCCCAGACTAGGTTTTTTGCACTGATTTTTAATTTTCCGTAGGGTAAGTTATAGTAATGGGCCGAAAATCGAAATTGAAAATTGTTGCATTTCTCGACGCTTTGAAGGTTTCTGAACATTTTGACATACCTCAGAAAAAAATGGATGTGTTTTTTTTATTTATATTTTTTTTTTATATAGCGAAGGAAAAGTATTTATGCATCCCACACAAGGTCTTTTAGATGTTAGACATTACCTCCTGAGGGTAGGTTCTAGAATGTTATCATTCTTGCACTGATTTTATACTTTTAACTTCCCGTAGGGTAAGTTATTGTAATCGTCCAAAAGTCGAAATTGAAAATTTGTGCATTTCTTCGCGTTTAAAAGGTTTCTGAACATTTGGCATACCTCAGAAAAAATGAATGTGTGTGTGTATGTGTGTGTGTGTGTATGTATGAATGTATGTATACAATTTTTCGTCGACGATTTTGGACGCACGGATTATCCGATTTCCATGGTTTAAAAAACATTCTATCTCTATCGATAGGGAGATGTGCTGATTAGTTTTTGGCAAACGCAGGTCCAGCCGTTACGGAGAAGCGGAGCAAAGAGTGCAAAAAATACATTCGAGTTTTTGAGAGAACGGATCATCCAATTTGTATGATCCAAAAAAACATTCAATTTGCAATGATTGGGAGAAGAGGTGATTAGTTTTTGGCAAAGACAGGTCCCGTCATTTCGAAGATACAGAGCTAAATGAACAAAAAATGGCAGTTTTTGAGTGAACTAAGCGTCCGATTTGAATGATCTAAAAAACTGTCTGTTCGTATTGACAAAACAATTGCTTCTGAGGATAACAAATTTTTACATCTTTTTTATTTTCCATAAAATATTTTTGTAATTTTGGATCAAAAATTCAAAAAATTACCCAGGCTAAGCACAGTCTAAGCGCCACTCTGGTTTACCACAAATGTTTACCCAAGTGCGTTTAGACTGCTTATGTATTGAAGCACTTTTCCAATTTTATGAAAACTATTGAAAAATGTGAAAATCCCGCTAAGCTAAGCACAGTATAAGTGAAAATGTCGCACAAAATTATTTGCAAATGCGTTTAGACTGTGACTATACGGGAGCACATTTTCAATTTTATGTAAATATTAGGCAACTGTTTTTTTTTTGAAATTGAATTCGAAATGAAATGACGATTGTTAATGTTCTGGAATGAAACAATTACAGTATTTGTAATAATATATTTGAAAACGTTTAAAATTTCTCGAATATTTCATTACGGTACGAAAAGTTCCAGCAATTTGCCTTAAGGCACGATGCCATACACCACTAGTTTTTTTATTTGAATCATTTTCTGCATTTTTTTATATTAAACTGCAGAAGTTGGCCATTATCTATATAATAAAATATCTTAGAAATAATTAACTTAAATAAACATAAATTAAGAACGTTTATAAAGTCCATGATATTGCTATCTCGCTTACTCCCTTGTAAATAATGTATTTGTGTCCCTTTCTTTCACCAGATTAGAAAAATCGACGATTTATCTAATATACCTTAAAATGGCAACTTATTTTTTTTTTCAAATCATTTTCTGCATTTTTACAATTTTTTGACATTAATTATATAACTAAATATCGTAGTTAAAATTAAATTTAAATAAATATGAATTAGATATATTTAGGGTGCGTCCATTAATCTCGTGAAGCCTTCAGGGTGAGGGAAGGTTTTACAAAAAATCTAGTAATAATAGTACTAACTTTTGCAAACCTTGAGAAATTTTTAAAATTATTGTCTTGGGCATAGAATAAATAAATAAATAAACGACTTGTCGTAGGGTGAGAGGAGAATTTGATAAAAAATCACAAAAAATCTTTATTATTAAATTTATCTTTTACCTAAATTTTCAAAAAAAAGAAATAAAAATCTTCTTTTATTTTAAAAGGCGAGGGCGAAGGGTAATTTTAAATATCACTATGTATAACCAAAGGGGAGGGAGCGTTCAAAAAATTCCTAAAAAATCCTAAAAAATCGATCACGTGATTAATGAACGGCCCTTAAGGGGTTACATGGGTTTCGCGGTTTCAAAAAAACAAAAAAAATAATTTTTTGTCTTATTAAATTCTATAACATCTCTTTAAAAATTATTTATTAAAATATTTAATTTTTTATATGTAAAAAACATAATTGAAAAAAGCCCGTTTTTTGCCCGAGGAAACCCATGTAACCCCTTAAGAAGTCCGATATATTGCTATCTCGCTTGCTCTCGTATAAATAATGTATTTGCATCTCATTCTTTCACCAGTCGTAATAGTCTAATTTACCAAAATAAAACCGAATTGCAATTTTATATAGAATTTAATTTTTAAATTGTTTACGCAATCGACGACGAATAATTGTACCTGCACATACACACACACATCCAGGTTTTCTGAGATACACTACAACATACCCTACAGACAATTAATTAAAATCTTCAAAAGAGTCATTTACCATTTACCACTTACCTCGAATTCAACTCAGCCCTGATATCATACAAAGTGATACTCTTGTTTCCAAATCCCTGCCTCTCCAATTCCTCTGCAAAAGCGTCCAGATCCAGATCTTTCAGCCTCTCAGGTGCTTCCAGAATCTCCTCCAAGGCTCCTGCAGGATTCATCTCCTCGTCATCATATTCCAGAGCATCCACAGCCATTTTACGAGCCCATTCGTAAGTCTCTGGATGAACACGAGATCCGTCCAGGACTTCGACATAGGCTTCTGTACTATCACCAAGGGAATTGGTGTCGATTTTTACGAAACCGGAACAATTGATAAAAACCTGGTAAAGGATAGTTGGTAAAACAAAATTCTATGTATAGTGCAGTAAACGGCAAGGAAAAAAGGATATAACTTCTGAATTTTTTTACTGTGCTCCGAATTTCTTGAAATTTTGGAATTAGATTCATCTTACCCTCAAGTTCAAAAGTGAAAACAATTCAGGTTCGGGGGATGGCACCTTTTGTCAATTGTGTAATTACATTTATTCAAAATGACGTCGGAAATCGATAGAAAAACTAATTATAACAGAGGTGGGGAACCTTTTTGCCATTAGAGGCCGCACTTAAGTTAAGCAGCAATGAAAGAGGCCGCATAAGCTGATTGACCTACAGTGACTTTTGTGAAATTATCATAGTATTTTATAGTTTTAACAATTTATTGCATTATATAGGGAAAAAATACTAATTTAAAGGCTTTTAAATATAATATAATATAATATAATAATAATATAAAATAATATATTTTTAAACACTAAGTTAGTGACTTATTTGGCTTTGTTTTTTGCTTGCCTGTTTTTTGCTTGGCAACTGAGAAATTTATGACAAAATGACCAATAATTGTTGAGATGTAAAATTTCTGGGTCTCGAAGGAAATGGGACGAAATTTCATTCATTTTTCTTGAAGATTGGAAAAAAAGTATGTTTTGAACGTATGTAATGAGATAAAATCGACTTCGTTTCAATAACATCGAATTTTAGTTTGTTTTAATTTCATTTAAACATTCATTTTTTATATAAAAACGATATTAAAGTCTTTTGATTTGAATTTGATTTTCATATTCTTATTATTACATAATTATTTGAAATAAAAAATTATATAATTTTCTTGTACCATTGAATTCACTGACAGATTTTTATTTTGCATACTAAGGTGTTAACGGTTAATTTAGGGAATTTCGTGCTTTGGAAAAACCAGATAAAATTCATTTGTGAACTTTCGGTATGAATATTCCTGCTTGTTGTCATTCATGACAATAGTTATCATAACAAAAAAAGGATTAATGCATTAAACGCAACGTTACCTTCGTTCAAAAGAAATATACCTAGACACTATTGACAGACATTTAAGAATATAATTTGAAAAATATTATTAATAATTGATGTACCTACTCCATTTAGAGAATAATAATGATTACCCATGAAAATAAGCGTAATATTTGATAATGTATGAAAACAACAGTAATGAACGTGAAAGAAATATTTTAATTAAAATATGTATTTATTATGCACAAAATGTATTGTTAATTTATATTTTGCATTTGAGTTGTTCTCATTTCAAATATCTTACTCTATATTTATATTTCAAGATTTAAATATAAATAAATTATATGTATTATGTGCAAATAAATACGGACACATATTTTGCCTACAGCAATTCTTAAAAATATATTTTTGCATTTTATGAAAATAGGTATAGTTTTGTGTCATTTTATAACTAATGGTCTCATAAAATTGCCAATATATCTAGGTAAAATCTGGTTGCTCCGATTTCCACCAAAGCTGCGGATTTGCTTTTGGTTGCGAGAAGTATAAATTTTTATAATTTTACTACGAATACGCATAAAAATCTTCAACCCGGGTGCTAACGATTCCTTTGGACTGTTAATTTTTTTATAATACTTTTTGAATCATATAATAGGCGATGTCTTGCGAAATCGAAAATATTGCTTATATTAAATAATATTAATATAATATATTAATAATAAATAATGAGTGCTCTGCCCTAGGACAGGTCCGTGAGCTGAGTTAAACTCCAACTCGATTCAGGGAAGAAGTAGTGTGAGAGTTTTTCCCATTTCCATTTCACACCGCAGTGCCCGAGATAGGCTTATTTTCAATGGGAAACATATTTTGATCTATATTTTCAATTGAAAATAGACATCGCGCTGCCCGATGTCAGGTTGCCAGAGCGGGGAATCGAACGCACGACCCTGTCCATACAAAGTCAACGCGGTAACGCTACGGCGAACCCATATAATATATTACATATCTATTTTGTATCTGCCTAAGAGTCCGTGTTTCAGACTAGTAATCTGACGTCATGTTACAATATAACTGTTTTGGGTGGGATTTTTCGCGGAACTGTCATGACGTTGATGTACAGTAGTTGTTTGAAAGTAACTTTGCTATTTTGTACTAGACGGCAAGGGGCCGCACAAGAACCTTCCGGAGGCCGCATGCGGCCTCGAGGCCGCAGGTTCCCCACCTATGAATTATAAGAACAAAATGTCTTTTATAGTTTTTCAAAAAAACTAACACTTTTCAAGTTACTGGCCACTAAAGATTCATATATTTTTGACGTTTTTCTTCGTTTTTTTGCAAATATCTCCTAAAATATACATTTTAACAAAAATCATGTAATGAACAAAATGATGTCAATAAAAATCTTAATATATCGGTATTACATAAAGTATTCTAGGAAAAATATTAAGCAAGATTTGAAAGAGCAAAGTCGTTTTTTATTTCGTTCAAGATTTAATTGTTGTTTAAAGTCATCTAGTGTCGAGGTTTTACATTTTATGAATTTCGGTAAAATTGGATTTTATAGTGCTCAACATAAGCTTTAAAATGAGTGCTGTTACAAGTTTTTTACGTGTAAAATGAGTGAGCTATCATGCAAATAAGAAGCATATACGAAGTTTTTTTTCTTTTAAATCATATGGTTTAATGAGCGCCATTTCCACCAGAATTAAAGTAATTCACATTCCATCTAGAATTCACTTCATTATAGACATCTTGATGGATTCTAGCAGATTCAATACTTTAGTACAAACTATTTTAAGAAAACTCACGATTTTATAAAAACTGTTTTTTCCAATTTGCGCGGCCGCGCAGTCTTTAAACATTCAACTCTGTAAATTTTAGTGTGGAAGAAAAATAATAAAAAACAATAATAAGCCAGAAAGATCGTTTTGATTTTTATCTATATGCTTTTATACGTGTCTTTGATTCTTTTTGAGATATAATGAAAATAATTTCGATTTTTGAAAAAATTGGAAAAAAAAGTTTTTATAAGATAACGAGGCCAGTAACTTGAAAAGTATTAGTTTTTTTGAAAAACTATAAAAGACATTTTTTTCTTATAATTAGTTCTTCTATCGATTTCCGACGTTATTTTTAAAATGTAATTACACAATTGAGAAGGGGTGCCATGTTATGGCGCAACCCGAATTGTTTTCACTTTTGAACTTGAGCGAAAGATGAACCTAATTCCAAAATTTCATTCAATTCGGAGCACAGTAAAAAAATTCAGACCTAAAACCCTCCGTTTACTGCACTAGTAATGTGATGTAATGATGTGTGATTGTTTTACCTTTGGTCCCATATGACAAGAAGTGACTAACTGCGTACGATTTTCCAGTCTTTGATTCGTTTGTTTTAAAACTTTAAGTAGAGCTTGCCCTTTACGAGGTCCTAAACCGCAAATAAATTGGACAAGGTTTAGCGTCAGTTGCTTTGGACTGCCAAATTCATATCGACACCGACCTGCAAAAAAAAACAAACACTAAATAAATATTAAATCTCAAACTAGTTGCAAACTTAAGGCAAATTGCTGAAACTTCCTGTACCGTAATTAAACATTCGAGAAATAATCAATAACTGTTTTAAATAGTTTCAAATAGATTATTGTTATTTTGTTATATTTTTTATTATCTGTCACTTATTGTGTTAATTCCACTTTATTGTTTTTCTAGTATTGTTTTATTATTCAGAAATTTTATTTATTTTATTTATTAATTTTATTATTATTTCTATTTGCTTTTATTTTATATTAAATCATAATACTACGGATATCATTTGAATGAAAATTCTATCCTTTATTTTGTACTCTTTTTTATTTAAATTTATGTTAATATTTATTATTATTACTAGATGTTAACTTATTTAACAGTTAAATAAGAAAAAATAGATTATTTATTATAAATACATACTGTAAACTAATAATTGCTTTTTAAATTGGGCAACGAGCGTATTCTACAATACAGCTTTGTGTATGTTTATAAGAATTTTTTTCATTTTTTTTTTGATAATTTAGAATTTTTTGGATTTAATTTTTTTAGAATTTGAATTTTTTTTAAAAAACGTTTTTTCTTAATTTTTTTTAGAATTTGAATTTTTTTTAAAAAACGTTTTTTCTTAATTTTTGGAGAATTTGAAAATTTTTGAAAATTTCGTAATATTCAAAAATTTTTTTAGCAAATGTGTTTTTTCTTAAATTCCAATATTTTTTAAAAATGTTCAAAATTTAGTTTTTTTCGAAAATGATGAAAAATTTCGAAAACTTAAATTTTTTGATCATTTTTTTATTTTTTAATTTTATTTATTTTGTTCATTTTTTTAAATTTGTTTATTTTTTGGTAACTTAGAAATTTTTCCAGATGTTTGAATTTTTTTGTTTTTTTTTTTAAAAAAAAAAGTTTTTTCTTAATTTTTTGAGAATTTCTAAATTTTTGAAAATTTCGAAAAATTCTCAAATTTTTGTAAGAAATGTTTTTTTTTGAAAAACTTTGATATTTTTTGAAATTGTTCAAAATTTAGTTTTTTTTCGAAAATGTACATTTGATTTTTTTGAATTTGGAATTTTTTTGAAAATTTTTGTTTTTTTTTTTAAAGTTTCAAAATCACGAAATGTTCTGCAAAAACATTTTTTGCACACCGTCTACTCAAGCAAAATGTCTTTTGAATTAATATAATCGGATGATCCGTTCTCTCAAAAACTGCATGAACATTTTTACACCCTTTGCACTCCATACCTCCAATTATAATGAGTAGTTTGTATGTGTTTATAATTTCTTATATAACTTTTGATTGAATTGTCAGATTTTAATACAATATTCAGCAAATTTGTTTAAAGTTAAATAATCTATAAAATTTTCTAATATCATAAAACTTTACAGCAAATCGGTATACTTTAAAATCGCTATTGAATGTAAAATAAACTAGCTGTAAGTGGAATTCTGTCTTGAGGCATTTATGGCATCGTGCCTTAAGGCAAATTGCTGGAACTTCCCGTACCGAAATGTTCGAGGAATACTGAATGTTTTCAAATAGATTATTATAAATATTGTAACATTGTCTAATATTTATGAGAATTATATAAACTGAATTGCAGAGTTGAAAATATTTGTAAAGTATATTAGAACTATAGCCAGAATTAAAAATAAAATCTGAAATATTTTTGATAAAACTAAAAAAAAAAAAAAAAAAAAAAAAAAAAAAAAATTGAACAAAATTTTTTTTCCAAAATCAATTATTTTGTTAAGACAAGCAGAAAGTTCTTTGAATCATTTAAATCGGACGCTTAGTTCTCTCAAAAACTGCCATTTTTTACATATTTAGCTCCATATCTTCGAAATGGCTGGGCCTGCCTTTGCCAAAAACTAATAAGCACTTCTCCCAATCATTACTAATTGAATGCTTTTTAGATCATTCAAATCAGATACTCCGTTCTCTCAAAAATTCGATTTCTATTTTCTGCACTCTTTGCTCCGTATCTCCGAAACGGCTGGACCTGCCTTTGCCAAAAACTAATCAGCTCTTTTCCCTATCAATAGGAATCGAATGTTTTTTGAACCATTCAAATCGGTTGATCCGTGCGCCCTAAAACGTGACTGGAAATTTGTATCCATACATACATACACACACACACACACACACACACACACACACACACACACACACATCCATTTTTTCTGAGGTATGCCAAAACGTTCAAAAACCTTCAAAACGTCGAGAAATGTTAAAATTTTCAATTCCGATTTTCGGCCCATTACAATAACTTACCCTACGGGAAGTTAAAAAATCATTACAAATAAGTACTTCATTGACGGATGTGTATTTGTTTATAAATTCTTCTATAACTTTTGATTGAATTGCCGGATTTAGATACAATATTCAGCAAATTTGTTTAAAATTGAATAATCTATCATTTTTTCTCACATCACAAATCCCTATAGCAACTCGATATACTCATAAACGATAATAGAAAACGTTCTATTATTGCAAGTGGTAACTGTTCAATTATTACTATAACTTATCCTACGGGAAGTTAACAAAAATCTTATTACATTACCTCGTTCGTTCGATTGACGAATTCCAGATACAAATTCTCCAACAATTCTTCCCTAGGTATTTGATCCTGCAAAGTGTGGTAACGCAAACAAAGGATTTCCTCATCACTCGAACACAACTGAGAGTATTCTACCAAAGGATCTTGCATTTTCCTAGAAAGCGATATCGCTTGCCTCAATAAATCCGGGTAATCCCTGAAGTCAGTCTGGAATAAAAATAATAATGGACATATAATGAAAAACTGATTGAGCAAATTTAAAATTAATTTAGTTAGTCTACTCACAATGCCTTTTTTCGAGTTGCTATAAATCTTTGCCAGTTCGTTGTCGATAATTTCGACTTTGACATCGGCAAACTGTTCGTCCTGAATCAGGCCACTGATAATATCCCTGACGTCCTGCTGAATCATTTGTGCGTCCCTGGATTCGCCGCCGACGACGATGACGTGGGGTTTCTTTGTGCCGATGAAATTACGAAGGGCTGCTAGATCAGTTTCCTGGGAAAAAGATAAATTGTAGTAGATACAGTAGAACTCCAATTATCCGAACTCCGACTATCCGATTCGCCGATTATCCGAATCACTTTCAGAAAAAAAATTGTCCAAAAAAAGTGTAAGTGCGCTATTATTCTTCCACCAGCAAAGCCAGTGTAGACACATTGTTTGTTTTGATTTGACGGAGATGTTCACAAAACAATGATTATTATTTCTAAACTTGTACATAAATACATTTTATTTATATTTAAAACATGTAAAAATGTCATGTTTCTTTCATTTAATTCAATAAAAAAAATAGTGCGATATCAAAACTTAACTTTTTTCCTCTCCAAAGGCAATTTTGAAAAAAAAACTCCAATTATCCGAATATTTGATTATCCAAATGGGTCCCGCTCCCCATTAATTCGGATAATTGGAGTTACGGATACTGTAAGTCGTAAAATAAACTAGTATTTAGTAAGCGATATAGCAATATATCGGGACTTCACCCACGTTCTTGGAGGCGTCTCCATTAATCACGTGATCGATTTTTTAGGAATTTTTGTACCCCTCCTACCCCTTGGTAATACATCGTGACATTTAAAAATAACTCTCCCCCTCCCAAACATCACATGCATTTTTCGAACAAATTTTTCGGAACTGCCTTCCGATGCAAGTAATATGTTTTTTGAATCATTCTAATCGGATGCTCCGTTCTCTCAAAAACTGAATTGACTCTTTTTGCTACGTTTGTCCAGAATGACCTGGACCTGCCTTTGCCAAAAACTAATCAGCACGTCTTCTTATCAATGGAAATCGAATATAAAAAGAATCATTTAAATTGGTTGATCCGTGCTGCCAAAATCGTCGATGAAACAATTGTATCCACACATACAAACGCATAAAAGCACACACACACACATACATCCATATTTTTAAAATTAAAGGCTTTGAAACGTAAAACGTATGCAAAATATTTAATTTTTTATTACCCAATGGAAAGTTAATTGCTGGAAGTTCGTGTACTGAAAAAAATAGTTTTCAAAATTTGAGAATTTTGAAATTTTAGGGCAAAAAATGATTTTTTTGAATAATCTGATTTTTTTATACATTGTAAATTTTGAACTTTTTTCAAAGCAATGCTCACGAAGTCGTCGATAAAAATATTGTATCCGCACATGCACGTAAAAATATCCGAAAAAAAATCTTATTAATAAATGGCAAACTAGTGGTGTATCGAAAAATTGAATTTTTATAAGAAATTTTTGTGAATTTTGAAATTTTTGAAAAAATGACTTTTGTACAATTTGATTTAATTTTATATATTGTAAATTTTGAACTTTTTCTTGAAAGCAATCGCGCTGCGTTAGCTGCGTAGAGACGAAATATCAAAGCGCGTAAGCGCCGCGTCGCAGTCTAAAAGATAAATATTGGTATGGCACCCGTAGAAATGTAAACAAAATTGTACTTCCCGAAAGTTCAGTCAATTATCCATTCGCTCCATACAAGTGAAATGTTTTTTTGAATCATTATAATCGGATACTCCGTTCTCTCAAAAATCTAATTGACACACTTTTCTACGTTCCTCCGAAATGGCTGGACCTGCCTTTGCCAAAAACTAATCAGCACGTCTCGTTAGCAAAAATTGTTATCGACAAAAAACTGCATAATTTTTTTCTAAATTAAGGGGGCGTCCATTAATCACGTGAGGTTTTTAGGCAAAGAGCGAGATTTGACAAAAAATCGCAAAATATCCCGTGGCGGAGGGGGGGGGTATAGTAAGATATCACATGTATTTATTTTGTACCCGATTAAAAAAAATCCTAAGATTATCAAAAAAAAATCAACAGTTTTGCAATTTTTCTCGTTACCAAAAATACACGTAATTTTTGGCGGGGAAGGAGGGGAGGTAATTTTGAATATCACCACGTATCACCAAGGGCGAGGAAAAGTCAAAAAAATCCTAAAAAATCGATCACGCGACCTATCGACACCTTATAAAAGGCTTTGAAACGGATAGGTGTCTATTTACCTTTAGCATTTTATCAGCAGCATTCCAAGCGTTCTTCCTCTTCAATATATTTGGCAACCTAAGATAATCGGTGACATCACCATCGGGTGCAGTCATAGCTGCAAAAGCAGCCTGCGAATGATCAGGGGCGTAGGCAATGCCCATTACTTTTACACCGTGGGTTGTGTCCCAATCGTCATCGTCCTCCTCTGGAAACTTTGTTGTGTACGGAGCAATCTGTAAAAGAAACAATAAAAAATCCAATACAAATTTCTATAGTTTTGATCATTTTTGGGTAATCGATCCTTTTCAACAGTCTTATTACCTTGATCCAGTTGTACAGCTTCCTGCAGCAAGCCCTCAGTACAGAATCTCTGGCTTCTTGCAGCAAAATAGTCTTCAGTTCTCTCCTCAAATCAGGGAATACCATTTTGTTCAATGCCAAGTCCACGCACTCACTTCGGACTTGATTCCAGCCTTGGACGTGCTTGGAAAACTCATCCTAAGGAAAAATTACAAAAATAAATAAATTTCTCAAAAAAAAATTAAAAATTTATCTGTAGATTTTGTTTGTCTATTTACCTTGTTGTAAAGTTGTTTAACTTCCTCTAAATAGCTGCCGGAGGTGAGACTTTCTATTTTGTCGCTCAATGTAACCGTGACCAGTTGATCAGTTTCGGCCATACACAGCCTCAGAAATTGGTCTCCGTTTAAGTCTCTGACCGGTTTGTCTTTTATATACTTCATACTGGAAAAATAAATAAAAACTAGTGGTGTGTGACATCGTACCATAAGGCAAATACTAATAATTAATTATATTGAGAATTTTCCGAAAAGTCTGTAAATTTTTGCAAATATTCGATTTTTTTTTTGAAAATTTCGAAATACTCTCAAATTTTTGTAAAATGGATTTTTTTAAAATTGTGATATTTTCTGAAAATTTGCATAATTTAGATTTTTCTAAATTTTCGAAACTTTTAAACGTTTTCAAATATATTATTACAAATACTATAACTTTCATTATTTTTGCTATCTTGTTATATCTGAGCAAATCAAATGTAAATCATAAATAAATCAATTTATCTCCGAACATTAACAATCTCCATTTCATTTCGAATTCAATTTCAAAAAAATAGTTGCCTAATTTTATACAAAATTGAAAAAGTGCTCCCGCATAGTCACAGTCTAAACGCATTTGCAAATGATTCTGTGCGACATTTTCACTTATACTGTGTCTAGCTTGGCGGCATTTTCACATTTTTCAATAGTTTTCACAAAATTGGAAAAGTGCTCAAGTACATAAACAGTCTAAACGCACTTGGCTAAACACTTGTACCAGAGTGGCGCTTAGACTGTGCTTAGCCTGAGTAATTTTTTGAATTTTTAATCCAAAATTACAAAAATTTTCATAATTTAGATTTATGTAAAATTTCGAAATTTTTTGGAATTATTAGAAAAAATCGATTTAAAAAAAATTGTGAATTTGTAAATTTTTGAAAATATTGGATTTTTTTTTTTAAATTTTGAAATACTCTCAAATTTTTGTAAGAAATTATTTTTTTTTAAATTTTAATATTCTCTGAAATTATACAAAATTTATATTTTTTGTATTTTTTGCGATTTTTTTTTTGAAATTTTCGAAATACTCTTTACAAATTTTTGTAAAAAATCGTTTTTTTTTATTTTGATATCTACTGAAATTTTTCAAAATTTAGCTTTTTTTTGAAAACTATGACAAATTTCGAAAATTTAATTTTTTTTTTTAATTTTAATATTTTCTGAAACTTTTGAAAATCTAAATTTAGTAAATTTTCGAAATCTTTGGAAATAATCGTTTTTTTTTTTAATTTTTGAGAAATTGGAAGTTTTTGAAAATATTTTGATATTTTCTCAATTTTTTCTGTATTTGTTTATAATTTCTTATATAACTTTTGATTGAATTGTCGGATTTAAATACAATATTCAGCAAACTTGTTTAAAATTAATTAATCTACAATTTTTTCTAACATCACAAACACCTATAGCAACTCGATATACTCATAAATGATAATAGAAAACGTTCTATTATTGTAATATTAAACATGTGGTAATTTTTTATTTTATTTAGAAAAATAACTTCTGAACTATGAATAGAAAATGAATAGTGTATTTGAAAATATTTTTTAATTCCATATTAATTTCTTACCTGTAACACATATGATTCTCATCAATTTCCTTCATCCCCTTCTTAGTAGGTTTAACATTAATCTTAGCCCTTTCATAGAACACTTCCCGGACACATTTCCTCAACAAGGGCTCCCGTGCTAATTGCATGGCCACCATAAATTTGGCAGCATGCAAAACGTCTTCGGGAGACGAAAACTTGGCACTTATGTAATCCTTGGCGACTTCCAAGGGCTCTGCACTTTCTTGCTCCACTTCGTGTCTTTGATAGTTGTCTCGCAAGTTCTCTGAGAACTGCTCTGGTGTTAGACCGAAACGTTTTGCGAAACCATCTGAGGAGGAAGAAAAATAGTTGTGATAAAAATTTATTTGGTTATTAAAGTTGGTATAGTTTGTTATTACCTAGATTTGCCTTTCGGCACATGTTATAAGGTCCGGACCTGGCTGCTTGTTTCAGGGTCTCCTGCTCCTGTTCCTCTTCTTCTTCTTCATCATCGTCTTCAATAATTTTTGGTTCTTCACCGTTTTCTTGGCCTTCTTGTGCTTCTAATAATTTCTGCTTTTCGCGCCGTTTTTCTTCTCTACGTCTAAAAAAATAAAAAATATGAAGAAAATTCCAAAATATAAAACATTATGTTATGTTTAAAATTCTGTTTCGAAAAAATATTTATGAAATATGAATCGACTATGAATTTGAAAAAATAAATATGTATTAACACTTTCCACTCGGGAGTCCGACTGCTCGACGGTGCGCTGCGCTCGGTATATTATAGTGCTATACATATCTCTCAACTCGGAATTTTTTTTTTGTATCGGATTTTCGGAAATGAACTTAATAGTGAATTAATTTCAGAAATATGACAAAAAATCACATGTTGTAAGTTTAGTTCGCAACGACACGATTTGCCGCCGGAGCGGCGGCATCCGAGTGGAACGGTAAAACGTGTCATGCCGCCGGAGCGACGGCATCCGAGCGCAACAGTAAAATGACCATGCCGCCGGAGGCATCCGAGTCGAAAGGGTTAAAGCAAGAGTAATATCAAGAACTCTGTTTACAAGCAACAAATTATCGTTATTGTTACTTAAATATTACTCACTTTTGTTTTTCCTTAGCCTTTGCAATTTCCTGCATAGCCGGTACTTCGTGTGAATAGTAAAGCAAAAAGTGTGTGTGTACATCTTTCAATTCCTCAGTCGTCTGAACTGATTTTAATCTGAAATTAAAAAAGAGTTGGAATTATTAAAATGTTACGTCCAAAAATCAACATCACAAACACCAATTTCATCTACGTGATCGACTTTTTAAGAATTTTTAAACTCCGCCTTCCCCTTGATCATATCTCACGTGTATTTTTAGTTACATGAAAAAATTGTAAGTTATTTTCTTTTTAAAAATGTTTGGAATTTTTTTAAAGATCAGATAAAAAATAAATACACATACTATCTCACTATACCCTTCCCCACACACATTCTTACATACTAACAATAAATTAATATTTTTTGGATTCTCTAAAAATTGTTTAATACCTTACACATGGTAAAACTAAGTTCGCCGGGCCATCTAGTGTACATATTATACAAATACATATATATATATATATATATATATATATATATATATATATATAAAATTCTTCTGTACGGGTGTAAGGCGAGATACACCTCTTAAACGATTATTCTGATTTTGATAAATCTTTCTGCAGTTTGTTAAGGGAAATTTTAAGTATGCAAATGATATAATGGTAAAAATTGCAAAAAACAACATGTCATTGTTTGACATTGAAAATATTTTGACAAATGAGAACTGTCACCTGCCAGATATTTCAATTCATGTATGAGCCTAGACAATATTAGAATATAATATTGTTCATGATTATGAACGAATGTAACTTTAATATCATGTTAATGTAATAATCATTTGGTATGTAGCAATATTTATTTTTACTACCAAAAATCAAAATTGTGGTATTGAAAAAAATTTATTATATATTTTAATTGTTATAGCAACGTTTTATAATTGATTTTTAAAATAAATGACAAAAATTTGATTAATTTCACAAGAATTATCCGAATCATCAGAATTATTTAATTTATTTTATAAATCTGTACTGTATTTTTTTCATTATTAGATATTGCTACATTCAAAAAAAACGTTTGTAAGAATTTATTATTATCTAGTCTAAAACATAAATCATATCAATAAAAATATCATGAATTTGTAAATTTTGAAATTAAAATTTAAATACTGTATTTATATATGTGTATAGATAGTTCAAATGATAAAAATATTGTTTATGAATAAATTTATAATATTAATTTGATTTATTTCATTGATACCTATATTATTATTTCCGAAAAGCAGCTAAGATGTGCCAAAAATTATGTATATGTTTCGCAGATGTAATTATAAATTCAATTTGACAGATTTTTTTTTTCAACTAATGCAGTTCAAAAAAATTTACTTATTCAAAAAATTATTTAGATTTTCATTTGTTTGGCATTGGATACAGAATATTTACTGAAGTCAATGGAGCGTTTTGGGCCTGATTTTTTTTACTGTGTTCCAATTTGCATGAAATTTTGGAATTAGGTTCATCTTACTCTCAAGTTCAAAAGTGAAAATATTTTTTTTTATTTATGAGAAATCTAATCATATTTTATCTACAATTAACTTGGCTCAAAAGATTCCAAAATATCATGCAAATTGGAGCACAGTAAAAAAATTCACAGGTTACACCTTTATTTCCTCTCCATTTACTGCAAAAAATTAGTTGATCGTAGATGGAATAGTGCACATATGAACAGGATTTGACCAACTAATTCACTTAAGTAATAATGTATATTGAAATATTAGTAAGAAAAATGTAATTTAGATATTAATATTACTGTAAACAATTAATATATAGTACGAGATTATAAAAATTATGGGCAACATTATTGAAGTAATTATTTTGAGTGAAAAAATCCAAGGTGATATTGTACCTTTACCACGGATACTATATATAAATTCTTTCTGAACTCGTTATACTGTTTAAAAAACTGCAATTTCCAATACGTATATCTTATATGTCTGCACAAACACAGACTATGAATTTTTGTGTAATAAATTTGGAAAATCGATGTTTTAGTCCTGAATAAACAAAAAATCATTTATTTATACACCTTCAAATACACAGGTATAACTAAAAATATTGGATATCCATTAGCAATGGAAATAAATTTGTTCAATAAATTGTAGTGTATATTTGTAATATACAATTTTATTTAACATATTTCAATATTTGTTTGTTTCATGGTTTTACGTGGCTGATTTGAATTTCACAGTAAAATTAAAGAGTTAAGTGTGGGCTCTGAGACTCATCATTTTATTTAAAGCAGTTGTACATTTAAGATCACCCATATGGATGTATATTCATTTCGGTATAAACTGTAGTGTAAAAAACATAATAATTTTTAACGAATTGGTAAATATTAGTATAGGTTATTAAAAATAATTGGAACTTTTGAATTGTTGACATGGGTACAGGACAACATCTATCGGGTCAGCTAGTATATATATATATATTAAGATAATAAATACCTGTATATATCATCGTCCTTCATAACTCGCACATTATCAGGAATCGGCGCATCAGGATTTTCCATCAGTTTATCTAGTTGATAATTCCTCATATTTTCAAACAAAACTAATAAATTCTCTTTCCGTGTCTTCAATTGGCACCACTAACAACCACATTTTTTTAAAAATTAATATAACATATTTATTAGTTAACATAAAAATTTAATTATCAATTATTACCTTTGCATCAAATTTATAAACCTTCCACAAATCGTTAATGTTCAATTCAGGTTGCACGTATTCCTTTCTATAAAATGCGATGAATGGAACTTCCAGCAATTGGTTTCGCAAAAAGTCCAAGGCTTGTTTTATTTTAGCAATCGTCGAAGGCGGTTTTCTGGGCCTGTCTCTGTGATCTGAAGACATGGAGTCTTGTGTAGAAATATAGGGTTTGCAAAAGGCTTGTTTGTAAATCCATTCGGCTTCTTCTTCTAATTCATTAGAACCTTCGGGAACACTCGTAATAGGGACTTCACGCAATTGCATACGTTCTGGGATATCCGTATTACGAATCTAAAATTGAAAAATATATCTTATATATAAAAATTGAGCTCCCGATCAAATGATTCGGTAAAACTCGAAAACGGCTAAACCGATTTGGCCAGTCTTAGTCTTGAAAAATTCGTGCTGATCAGTAGGTTGTCGGAAAGGTGAGATTTTATTTCAAAATCGCGTAGAAACTTTGCATTTTTAATTTGAACATTTTTGTAGAAGCGTAATTTAAATAAAACAATGAACGGTGGCTAATACGTCAAATGTCAAACGTTTTCGACAGATGTTCAATTACGTTTAATAGAATGTTGTACGTGAATATTAATAATTATGATTAAATTGTAGTAAGTAGCTTTGTTTGTAGTTTTATTTATACACAAAAACGTTATTAAACGGATCGCAAGTGTTACTAGAAACTCAAAATATCAACTTTTTTGAAATGTTAATATCAAAATACACTTTTTAGCATATTTTTCTCAAACACGGTGCTCTAAAAGATCTCATTTGTATAATTATATACTCATTGGTATTTATAAAACATTTTCTAGGTTATATTATTTTTTATTTATGTCATTTAAATTCAGAACCTAAATTTGGTATCGATCAAAGCGACATTTTGTCGAATAACATTTTCCCAGTTATAATTTCCCAGAATTTATCCAAGAATAGATAGTAATATATGAATATTCGAGGTTAAAAAGGTCCACCACCGATGTGTCAAAAACCAGTAAAGTTAAGCATTGTTCAACAAGAATATTTGAAAGTAGAGGGTAAAAGATGTATAACCAGCTATAACCTTGATTCTCATGACTTTGCTATAGGGAGATAAACGGTAATCTTTAAAAATCCATAATAAAAGTATTTTTTTCCGTTGGTAGTTTTTTAGCATTAGTTAAAAATGTAATTATTTTGTAAAATACCTTTGAAATTAAAATAAGACACTAAAGGTGACTGTGACTGTTTGAAAGACAGCAAAAAAGCACATTTCTACAATGATAAAGTAGCTGACAGTTTTACTGAACGTAGTCAAATAATCGTTCGTTTGAAATGTGTTATTTGTTGTGATATAATTGTTTTGGTTTTTACAATATAGTTTATATTTGCTCAAAGTCAAATTGAACCTTTTTGCCTCGCCCTGCCTTACATATATACTTTTCATTAAATTTACTTTAATTCATCGAATGTTACTTGAAACTTTTCAAAAAGCAGGTCAAAGAAAAAATACTTAATTTCATTAATGCATAATATATAATTGCGATTTGAAACTCGTTTTATTCAAAATTTTCTATTGGACCATATAAAACTATTAGTAATGAATTAGAGTAAATTTTATCTAGTATCTACTAAGCTAAATTAGAAAAGATTTCCCAAAACTAACTTTTCATATTATTTGGCAAAATGTAGAAAACTGTCTCTTCATATATTGAACATTCTAGTCGCTATATAATTGCAAATTCAAACGCGTTTTATTCAAAATTTTATATTGGAGCAAATAAAACTATTTTTGCAAATTTATAGCAAATTTTATCGAATTTCTCTTAACCTAATTCAAAAAGAGTACCCAGAACAAACTTTTCATGGTATTCAATAATATGTAAAAAAATGTCTGACTTTTCATATAATTTATTTTCTATCTCTCCTCGGAGAAATTTGAAAATTTTGTATAAGCTCAGTAGTATTATTTACAATTATACACAAAATCCAGAATCCAAAAAGAATCTGAAAGACTTGAAACGTAATCAATATGTCGAAAAACCAAAAAAGACTTGGATTTAATTAATTATACCACGTTTTCTATATAAAGTGTATAAAACTTGCAGTTTGATTGTATTGACAAAATATAGGCAAACTAATGGGGTTTATTGTTTTTATAATACCTCAAACAACACATCCTAATACACTTTAAGTATTAATATTTTTGATTCTCTAGAAATTATTTAGAATATACCTTACTTAACAAAACAAGGTTCGCCGGGTCAACTAGTATATATACATACATATATATATATATATATATATATATATAATTTAACACACCATTATATATTAAATATTTCTATTATTATTTTTATAATCATTACCTCGTTGTCGAAATCAGTGAAATGTCCCCGTTTAAGTTCGCTCGGTTCGTAAATTTCAAAAATGCTCTTGGCAGGTTTTTTCTTAGGCGTTTTCTTAGGCCTTCGGACACGTTCACCTGTTTCGGTGTCATCATAGTCCTCATCTTCTTCCTCGTCTTCATACTCATCTTCATCCATTTTTTCAAACTCCTCGTAATCGAAATCGACGCCGAAGATGTCTTGACCTTCTTGGAGAGAACTAGAGAAAAAAATATAAGTTTTAATTATAAATAGTAGTAAAAGGTATGAAATGTAAAAGGTTGTTTTTTATCTTACGCATCTGTGAATATGTGTCTCCGTTTCTTTTTCTTTTCGGTGATGGGACGTCCATCATCATCAACAATAAAATCGTCGGCGTCAGAATATTCTCCTTCGGATGCTTCTGAATCGTAATGTTCTGGTTCGACGACACGATGGGATCTTTCTGAATGTCTTTCTTCCTCCTAAAGGTAAAAAAGCATGATATTTATTTTTTGGACCAATTAAAAAATGCATACACCTAAATTTTCACCCTTCGACCACAAACCCTTATTTTTATGAATGTTTTTAGCTAAATATAAATTATAAATTTTCTTGTACCTACAGAAAAGCTTGATACCTTTTTTAAAGAAAAAACTGTTTTTGCTAAGTGCTGCCTACCCCCTACATTTTCTAGATTTCAATTTTCAAATAATTTTCCTTATTTTATTTTTCATCATACAGAATTGAAAATGACATACAGCCCTAAATTTTGACCCTTCTTTTACAATCCCATATTTTGAATTAGTCACTTTAGTAATCCAACCCTGTTTCAACCACTTGATAACTGATTAATTTTAAATACTTTCAGTTTATTTCCATTGATTTTTTTCAAAGATTATTATGAAAAAAGCTGATCGCTTCAAAAAAAGCTGAAAGCTTCAAAAAGAATGTTTGACAAGAGCTAAAGAATATACAAATAAAAAATACTTTTTTTAAATTCTTAGAACCATTTTACTGTAATAATATATAATTCGAAAATACGTACCACTCTAAATTTTCACCCTCCTACCGCAATCCTGTATATACTTCCCATTTCATTAATTTTTTTTGAGATTATTATGACAAAGCTGAAATTTTTCTACGAAAACAATGTTCATAAATAGTAAAACCCCAACTTTTTTTTAATTTTTTTAAATTATTTTACTGTAATGATATAGAATTAAAAAATACGTACAATCCTTAATTGTCACCCTTCTGCCGTAATTCGATATATACTTCTCATTTCATTGAATTTTTTTGAAATTATTATGACAAAACTGAAATTTTCTACAAAAACAAAGTTCAAAAAGAATAATTATATGTACAAAAAAAAAATTGTATTTCTTTAGAATAGAGAACCCTAAATTTGCACCCTTCTTCACCAATCTCCTATTTTACAATAGTCATTTTAGTAACCCAATCATTCTGAATTTTGTCTACAATAATGTTATTTTTTTATAAATTTGTCCACCCCTAGATAAACAAGTATAAATTTTATGGTTTCCGCATATCATAGATGTCGCCACCAACGGTAGCACGTAAATTTACCCTTAGGTTCAATTCCAGATAAGATTTATATAAATATATAATATAGAAAAGATAAGCCTGATTAAATTGACTAAATGGAATGAGAACAAAATATACGCAAATAAAACACATTTTCAACTAAATCACAAATGTTTTCTCAAAATTAATATAATAAAAAAATTAAACGTTTAAAGTACGTGTATTATTATAAAAGAATCATTTTTTAAAAATAAAAAAAAGGTGAATTTGAGCACAGCCATCATCTGTTGATGTGGAAAACACTAAAATAGGGTAAAGCACATTTGTTCTAACCCCCATAGGTCCAATCCTAATATTTAGTTAATTTTCTAAAAATACCTTCTATGATAAAACAACGTTTGTCGGGCCAGCTAGTATATAAACTAGGGTGGTCCTTAATATGGACATTTTCGAGTTTCCGTGCTCCCAAGGGCTCAAATGGTTCCAAATTGATGAAAAACAATTCTCTCAAAGTTTTAGTTCTTAATATTAACTTTTAGATAGTGCGCAATTCAATCAAACTTCGTATGGAAATAGTAAGGAATTTTTTTTTGAAAATTACAAAAAAATTGTTTAGGTATAACTTAGTGAGAAATGAATTAAAAGTGAAAATTTGTGTCATTTTTTAGTGAAAATTCGACGCTCGGTTTGAAAAATTTTTGAAAACTTTGATTGAATTGCGCTCTATCTAAAAGACAATATTAAGAGCTAAAATTTTCAGAGATTTGTTTTTTATCAATTTGGAACCATTTGAGCCCTTAGGAGCAAGGAAATTCGAAAATGTCCATAATAAGAACCACCCTAATATACACATATATTATACTTTATAAAATTAATATTATAATCTAATTTATATTCTCACCAATGGTCCAACATCATGCTGAGAGTTTGCAAGCAGAATAAAACAATTATACGTTAAAAGATGCCACAATTAAATATTTTGCACTATAAATAGTACAAGTGTTGAAAAAAAATAGTGTAGTATCTTATAACACCTCTTTCAAAATATTTCTGAAAAAATATATATAATATAAATTACCTCATCAGATCCACCAACAAACAACTGGTCTGCAATTTGTTCTCTATCAACATTAGGATCGTGCTCCTCATCCTCGGAACCACTTTCTTCATTTTGGATACGTTTCAGACGTTTAAATCGTTTCTGAAAAAACAAAAATATTAAATATATATATATATATATATATATATATATATATATGTAAACATGTGATTATTATTTTCCCTTACCCTTTCGACTTTGACGCCCAAGTTTTCTTCAATCAGGTCGTAATCTTCATCCTCCAAACGATCGTCAAGTTCGTCATCGTCATCGGACTTTTTACGTTTTTTGGAACCCGCCGAAGCGTCACTGTCTTCGCCTTCACTGTCCTCCTCGATGGGGGCATCATCGATTAAGTCTTTCAATTCTTCACGTAAACGTTCCTCATCATCTGGTAGAAAAAAGAGTGGGCGTAAGGTTCATAATTCATTCAGTACATAAATACGAACATGTTGGTTGAGTTCTGGGACAACCCTGCACATGTATATTGGTAAAGAATTTTATATTGGTAAAAAAATATAAATTGTATTTTTAAGCAAAATTTATTTTTGTTTTCTTAGCTCAACAATACGTATTTTGAATTTAAATTATTTAATAAACTGCAAAACTTGTACTCGCGGCTGCAAAAATTAAATGTTGAGATAATAGAATAATATTTAAAGATTTGTTACAAGGATAAAAATGCATTGTATATAGCACCCGTATCAAAATTCTGCTAACGATTATCATATAACATGTATTTCTTATAAGATACCCATATAGGCATATTCACGTATGCCTAAACCTTGAATTCTATGTACGCCTTTTAAGGGGGTTGTTCGGTTTTTATTTATTTTTTTTCGATTTTGAGATTTTTTGATATTATGAAAGCTAAAAACCTTATAATTATTTAAAAAAAAAATCATCTCAATATCTATTTTTTTGACGAAGTTATAGATATATATATCTCTATATGTATGTTCCTCTGAAATCGTTTTTTTCATCGCTCCGGAGCTATTTTATGCCAGCTGCTCTCTTTTTCATTATAATACCTCATGCACATGACCTTTTTATTGTGCCAGCATCTTTGAACACCATGGTGTATTTAGTACATTAAATTAAATGGTGTATTTAGTACATTATATTGAAAACTTTAAATACGTTTTTCTCAAATTGACTTTTTTCAATGCCCCCTGGTTATAAAATGACAGCGAAAAAAAAAAGAAAATAATCTATGATTTTGTAATTTTTGTTTAAAAAAAAACGCATGTCTCTAGGATAAATACATTTCAAGAAAAACAAAAACAAATACCTTGCATTTTTTGTAAAAAAAAAGAACAACCCCCTTAACTAACCACATAGTACGCCTACAACCCTATGTACATAATACGCCCAATATTATTTCTTATCTTACAACTCTAACGAGAATCGAACCCGAGCCCTCTGCGTGGCAGGAGACGACCTTAACCACTAGACCACCGTAACGCTACGATACTCGTCTTTTATCGCGTATCGTTGCGCCACCTTAGTATTAATTGAGGTCCCGGGTTCAATTCCCGGAAAAGACAATAGATAGGTAGAGACAATAGATAATACATAAGAGTAAAATGTAGCGTGTAAACAGTAGAATGTAAAGTTTGTAAGAGGTACAAAGATATTGTACGGAGTATGTTATATATAATAGGTTAATAGCAAATATTAATAAAGCGGTCATAGATTTATATATAAATGAATATATAAATTTATATATAATTGTAAAATTTTTACAAGAGTGTATATAAAAGTTTTTACTAGATTTTAGTAAATTTCATCTAGTTTTTATTCATGCAAACAAATTTTAACATCCAAAATAAAAATTAAAAGTTACTTGAAGAAATACAAAAATTTGTCCTAAATCCATATAATGCTTATGATACTAAAGTCCGCATTTCAACTACGAATTATTCAAAATTTTGATATCCAAGTGTATAAAACAGTTTTTACTAAATTTTGGTAAATTTTATGTAGTTTTTACTAATGTAACTAAATTAAAATGTCCGGGAAGAAAATTAAAAGTTATTTGAAGAAATGTAAAAAAATGTCCTAAATCCATATATGGCAAATTATGAAAATGCTTAAGCCCGCATTTCAACTATGAATTATTCCAGATTTTATTATCCAAGTGTATAAAACAGTTTTTACTACATTTTAGTAAATTTCATCTAGTTTTTACTGATGTAAATGAATTAAAATGTCTAAGAAGAAAATTGAAAGTTATTCAAAGAAATGTAAAAAAATCTCCTAAATCCTTATATAGCAAATTATCAAAATACTAAAAACCGCATTTCAACTATAAATTACTCAAAATTTCGATATCCAAGTGAAGGTAATAGTTTTTACAAGATATTAGTAAATTTTATCTAGTTTTTACTGATGTAAATAAATTCAACTAGCCGGTGCAAAATTTCCTAAGTATTCCAAAAAGTGAAAAGAAATGTCCAAAATCCATATATCAAATGGTACTACAGTAATTTTAGTAATTACTATACGTAACTATTGAAACTATAAAAACTAATGATGAACAACATATAGAACTCATAATTGAAAATTAAACATTAATATTCTAAGCTAGAAGACTTTCTAGTAAATAAATATTCTATGTAGATCATAATGAATTATGTAGATCATAATGAATGTCGATAACAAATTCATCTCTGTAATTATAATCAAGACAAATATAACAAAAATTTCATCATAAAATCCATTATTCTTGAATTCACACAATTTTTATCTCGCTCATAATATAAAAAATCTACTTAGTCAGCAATATTTGTATATAAAGCATTTGTGAATTTAATTTATTCTCAAGCAGTTATTTGTACAATAACCACAAGACATTTAAATCAAATATGTGAAGATATCACTAATTCGATTCCAAAACAAATCTGACTCAACCTCATATTACAAGTACTTATAAGTAAATATTTGTAAATATATATAAAACAAACATTCAATTTTAAGAAATTAATCATCAGAAGGTCAATATCACATAAAAAACTAACTGGAAAGTCTCTGATTCATCTGAAATTCATGGAAAAAGATAATTAAGCCAATTATGTAAAAACAATCTCACTAATTCGATTCGAAGTCTGATTTAACCTCACATTTGAACCATTATCATTTTCTCTAAATATTTGTGAATAGAGATAAAAATGGATTTAGTTTTATATAATAACAAGTACATGACCGTCTTCAAGGATTTAGATTCACCAAACAGGAATATTTAAGCCGAATACTTATAATAATTCAATTCTTTAAACAAGTTTGACTTAACCTCATTTGAGTATAAACTTTTCATCAAAACATTTCTAAATATATATAAAAAGCTATTTGATTGTAAGAAATAGTTAGTACAAGATTGTCTCACGGATTCAGATTCACCTGTATGAGTTATTTAAGCCAAATGCCTACAATAAATGAATTCTACGAACAAGTTTGACTTAACCTCATTTTAAGTATAAACTTTTTGCCAGAATATTTGTAAATACATATGAAAAGCTATTTAGTTGTAGCAGATAGTTAGTACAAAACTCTCTCAAGGTTTTAGATTCACCTGAAGGAGATATTTAAGCGAAAACAATAATAATAAAGATTTTAACCTTCTTCATCTTCCTCATCGCTATCCATAGCTTTCAGCTTTTTCAACTTTTTCCTCTCATTGTTATCTAACTCGTCTTCTTGCTAAAAGATAAAAAACAAGCATAATTATAGTAAAATGTTGTAAATACACAAAAATAGTATGCAAAACAAAAATGTTTTGGTAAGCATTTTAGCACTCCAGGGTACAAAATCAAGGTGCACACAACACCTGAGTGCCCCCATAAACAAATCAAGCTCTAAAAATCATTTACAACATGTATCCTTTATCTATTTAGCCATAAAAGCAAAAAAATTCCAAGAATGCGTTCTAAATTTTTCATACCTCGCTTTCTTCGGCTTCTGAGTCTAGGAAATCCATGTTTTTACTTTTTGCACTTAAGTCTAACTAACAGAATTACACTAATATATTCTAATTTATGAAAAAAGCCCGAATAACAGTAATATTTACAACTAAATCATAAACAGCTAAAAGCAAATTGTCAATGCTGTCATTTTTGGAGAAGAACTAGAGCGCAGGAAAATATCGGTAGAGGGATAAGGATATATCGATATAAAGGATAAAAAAAAAATATTTGTAATAATATTAATTAAATAATGAATTTGTATTTGGGATTATGGTTTTAATATAAATGCGTTTTGTTTTTTGTTTAAATATATATATTAAAGTCTAAAACAGGCTAAAGAAAAGTTTTTTTAACGCGCACACGGTATCGTTTGTAACGCTAAATTCAAAATGGCTACTTTTATTAATAATTATTTGTAATAATACAAAATAAATAATGAATTTGTATTCGGGTTTATGTTTTTAATATAAATGTCTGTTGTTTTTTGTATAAATTTGCACATAAAAGGCTAAATCAGGCTAAATGAAAGTTTTTTTAACGTGCACACGGTATCGTTTGTCGCGCAAAATTCAAAATGGCTACTTTTCAAAAATTATTTTTATAGCATTTTTGCAAGTATTTCATTTACACAAATTACTTAGTATTTATTTATATACAAGAAAATTCATGTATAAGTTATGATAAACATTATATATATATTGTTATTATATTATTATATACATATATATATGTTTACAATTAGTTCCAAAAATACTCACGAGCGGCGCTGTTAACAACGTTTTAACACTCTGACATTAACATGTTTAAAAGTGTTCTAACCTCAAAATTATAAATATTTTTATATTTAATGTTTACAAATAACTCGGAATGTAAACACTAAACTAATGCTGTGTTTATCATAAATGTGAAGAAGTTTAACTTAATTTAGTGTGATATAATATATTTTATTATTTAATTTAGTGTTAAAATGATTTCTCCAAGTGGTCCTGACTGTGTAGCAGTAAGTATTCATTTAACTAAAATAATACTAGTCAAAAACTTCCTGTTTACATAAAATACATAGTTTTAACTTTGTAATTCTGTGAATATAATTCTTGAGATCATATTAGTTAGTATATAATATTACAGTATTTATAATAATCTATTACAAAACACTTTATACTCCTCCACTATTTTATTTTGCTTCAGGGAAGTTCCAGCAATTTGCCCCACTAGTTTATTACTATTATCACAGTTATTAATATCTGTTTTTTTACCTTTCTAGGCCGAGCTATGTGGAGTACTTTCCACACCAATCCAGTTCCGTTGCCACAGGTTAAACGCAATGATCAATTCCTACCACCCACGTGATTTGCAGAATATTTTTCCACAACTTGTAGACTCTATTTTCAATTCAAGAGGTGGACAAGGATGGGGCTTGCGTGTTATCACACAATCGTCAAGCGTAAGGATAATAAATAAGATTGATTTTATAGTTACCTAGCTTCACTTTACTTACGTTTGTTTGTTCCAGGAATTCGATCTTTTGCATGATTTCTTTTCGCCCTTGGGACCGTTTTTACGGTTGTGTTACAGATTGTTGGATGATAATATAAAGTTCTTGCTACCGATATCGTATTTGCCTGTAAGTATAAATGAAATATCTCATGTGAACCCTTTATCTAATTATTGTTAATATTTTGCAGCAACTTTTAAGGAACAAACTGTCGGCCGGCAACAATTTATCTAATTTTTATAAAGAAACGCTAACATTCAACGCTAAAGGACTTGTTTTAGTTTTAAGTAAGTCTCCCATCATCAATAATAAATTAATTTATTCCTCTCGTATCTAATTTTATACCTTTTTCCTCCAGATTCCTTCGACTACTACATTTTTAACTTTGCTCTACATTTATGCAACGAAATGCAATGTGTGGATTTACCTTGCAACCAAGAATCGTTCTCGGTTTATAGAGCCTTGTGCTGTGATTATTTACAGCACTTTTTAAGATGCGATGGGGACTCCACAATTTTACCAGACTTGACTATGCTTAAGGACCGCAGCAAAATGTCTCCTGTCGTTGTACCAAGGTAAAAGAAAATTTATATATATATATATATATATATATATATATATATCAAGGGTGGTTCTTTTGAATTTCTTTGCTCCCAAGGTCTCAAACGCTTCCAAATTGATACAAAAAAGTTCTCTGAAAGTTTCAAGTCTTAATATTAACTCTAACATAGTCCGCGATTCGATTAAAAAGTTTCGTATATTATAAAGCAAATTCTTGCGCCATCTGTTAGAGCAGACTTGTAATTTTCATGTTTTTTATTTTTTTTCTGTTAATTTTAATTATATTTATATGTAAAAATCAGTTATTTACAAGAAAATTGATAATAAGTCTAAAGAAGTTTTACTTCAAAAAATTTTAAGGTGTGTTTTATGGCTTGTTGGGTGTCGTTTGAAAGGTCTCAACGAGTAGAAAACGATTTTTATAAAATTATAATTATATATATATATGTATATGTTATATAACAGTTGTTAATTTTTTTCCTAATATTGTCTAAAACGTGCACGATATTTTTCTTTTGTAGCGAATCTAACAGTAACTATGTGATTTGTCCAAAAAATATACACTTTTAATGAATTTCTATTAAACGAGTCTAAAGAAGTTTTACTTCAAAAAGTTAATATTCTGTTTTAATAGCATGTGGGGTTTCGTTTGAAAGGTCTCGATGAATAGAAAATGTTTTTCATAAGAAAATTAAGTATATTGTAATAAAAACGTTATATATATTATCATATTTTATCGAAAACAAGATCAGAATGTTGTTTTTTTTTTAAATGTGTGAGGTAACAAGCTTTCGTAGCGAATACTAACATTAACTATGTGCTTTGTCCAAAGAATATACACTATAAATGAATTTCTATTAAACGAGTCTAAAGAAGTTTTACTTCAAAAAGTTAATATACTGTTTTTATGGCATGTGGGGTATTGTTTGAAAGGTCTCGACGAGCAGAAAATGATTTTTATAAAAAAAATGAGTATCTTGTAATAAAAAAGTCATATATATTACCATATTTTTATCAAAAACAAGATTAAAATGTCATTTTTTTTTAAATGCGTGATTTGGAAAACTTTTATAGCGTTTACTAAAATTAACTATACAATTTGTCTAAAAAAATTACACTTTAAATAAATTCTATTAAACGAATCTAAAGAAGTTTTACTTCAAAAAGTTAATTTTCTGTTTTTATGGCATGTGGGGTATCGTTTAAAAGGTCTCGACGGGTAGAAAACGATTTTTAAAGAATAAATAAGTATATTGTATATTGTAATAAAAACGTCATATATATTACCATATTTTATCGAAAACAAGATCAGAATGTTGTTTTTTTTTTAAATGTGTGAAGTGTGAAGCTTTCGTAGCTAATACTAACATTAACTACATGTTTTGTCTAAAGAATATACACTTTAAATGAATTTCTATTAAACAAGTCTAAAAAAGTTTTACTTCAAAAACTTAATATTTTGTTTTTATGGCATGTGGGGTATCGTTTAAAAGGTCTCGACGAGTAGAAAACGATTTTTAAAGACAAAATAAGTATATTGTAATAAAAACGTCATATATATTATCATATTTTATCGAAAACAAGATCAGAATATTGTTTTTTTTTTTTAAATGTGAGGTGTGAAGCTTTCGTAGCGAATACTAAAATTAACTATCGAATTTGTCTAAAAAATATACACTTTAAATGAATTTCTATTAAACGAGTCTAAAGAAGTTTTACTTCAAAAAGTTAATATACTATTTTTATGGCATGTGGGGTATCGCTTGAAAGGTCTCGACGAGTAGAAAACGAATTTCATGACAAAATGAGTGTATTGTAATAAAAAAGTTATATATATTACCATATTTTTATCAAAAACAAGATTAAAATGTCATTTTTTTCAAATGTGTGAGTTGGAAAACTTTTATAGCGTTTACTAAAATTAACTATACAATTTGTCTAAAAAAATTACACTTTAAATGAATTTCTATTAAACGAGTCTAAAGAAGTTTTACTTCAAAAAGTTAATATTCTGTTTTTATGGCATGTGGGGTATCGTTTGAAAGGTCTCGAAGAGTAGAAAACGATTTTTATAATATATGGAGTGTATTGTGATAATATATATATATATATATATATATATATTATTTTATTTTTCCCAGGACGCCCCAAACTCCACGTCTGATAAAACTATCAGAAAACTTCATAGAATCTCCTTCATCTACTGATATCGACAATAACATGTTCAACTATAGCCAAACCTTTTGGAGAACAGAAACAGTCCTGACAGTCTTCACCGATATCTGGTTATGCAGTGATATTGCTTTTGAGACCAAAAATATTTCCGGTTATATAGTAACAGAAAATAATAACGTAAGTATTATTTTATTAGGCATTGATTCATGTTAATGTTTTATATTACAGTAAGGTTCATTTTGTTTCAGAATATTTTACCTAGTAACGATTATATAAAATTAATTCGAATAGTTGTGAAGCAGGTGCACGCGTTTGCAATGAGTGTGCGTTATGATCCTAATCAAAGTTTTGCTCAGTTGAAAAATTCGACGTGGAAAATATTTCAGGTAATAATAAATAATTATATATATATATATATATATATATATATATATATATTTTAATTATTTTTTATTTGCAGGATAAATTTTATCTATTTCTGAAACAAATGTTAAACCGCTGGCCGATGGATCACAACTTCATTTTGATTGTCGAGATGTGGTTAAGTTTTATTCAACCTTGGCGATACGACAGATGTAACCCTCCACAAATGTAAATATAAATTATAATTATATATATATATATATATATATATATATATATATGTATTTATTTATTTTTCTATTTTCAGCGACGCTGTGGAATTAAACCATCAATGCAAAGCTTTTATAATGGATAATATTTTAGCGTACACTCAAACATTTCAACAAATTTTAGCAAGAATCGAAAGGCTAGATCTTGTTGTGTCCAAAAATGCTTCACTCTTATACAGAGTTGCAAAGGTAAGAATTTATAAAGAAATAATAAATTAAATCAATATATAGTGGTACCCCGACTTACGAGTTTAATTCGTTCCGTAACCGCGCTCGTATCTCGAAGCAATTTTTTACATATTTACATTTTCATATTTAAATTTAAATCAGGTTACTCGTCATTAATGGATACTTTTATATTTTGTTCTCCAGTAAAGTCCTTATTAATATTTCATCAGTTTGTTCGTCAGTAGAGTCCCTTTCGGTATTTTTACATTTTGCTCGTCAGTAGAGTCTTTTTAAATATTTTATCTATTTGTTTGTGAGTAGAGTCCTTTTTGATATTTTTATATTTTGCTCGTCAGTAGAGTCCTTTTTAACATTTTATCAATTTCCTCGTCAGTAGAGTCCCTTTTAATATTTTATCAGTTTGGTCATCAGTACAGTCCTTTTTAATATTCTATAAGTTTGTTTGTCAGTAGAGTCCCTTTTGCATTTTATCAGTTTGCTGTCAGTAAAGTTCATTTTTTATAAAATGTCTTTTGTTTCAGTTTGCTTGTCAGTAGAGTCCTTTTTAATGCTTTATCAGTTTGCTTGTCAGTAGAGTCCTTTTTAATATTTTATCAGTTTGCTTGTCAGTAGAGTCCTTTTTAATGCTTTATCAGCTTGCTTGTCAGTAGAGTCCTTTTTAATATTTTATTAGTTTGCTCGTCAGTAGAGTCCTTTTCGGTATTTTTACATTTTTGTCGTCAGTGTTTAATCAGTTTGCTCGTCAGTAGTTCCCTTTTAATTATTTATTTTAAATTTTGCTCGTCAGTAGAGTCCTTTTCGGTATTTTTACATTTTTCTCGTCAGTAGAGTCTTGTTTCATATTTTAACATTTTGTCATTAAAACATATAAAAAAAACATTTTGCTTGTCAGTAGAGTCCCTTTTAATATTTTATCAGTTTGCTCGTCAGTAGAGTCCTTTTTAATATTTTATTACATTTTGCTCGTCAGTACAGTCCCAAAAATTTAGAAGCTAAAATTTCTAAGATTTTTTTGACTAGTTATCTAAAAATACAAAAAGAGGACACTACTGACGAGCAAACTGTATGTAGATTTAAAGGGAAAAAAATTCTACAAACAAACAAATTAATAAGATGAGTAAAATATACAAAAGGAACTCTACTGACGAGCAAACTAAAAATAAATGACTATTACTATTAATGACGAGGAAAAGGAAAATAGACTTTCGCAGAAAAAAATTACGAAAGTGATCCTAAAAATTTAAACGACTGTCTTTAAAATCTTATCATAAAACAGCCAAAATATTTCTATGTTAGTAACTAATAAAATTTGTAAGACGCGAACATGCCCCCGGATTTGAAAAGTTAATTTGCATGATTTTTCAACATGGCTTCGTGTAGTTTTTGTATAGTGATAAAGTTACAATGAAAAAATATTTATAAAAATGATTAAGATAAAGTAGTTATAATAATATGTGAAAATGATTGATTATATTATTACTTAAATGCTATTTTAGGGAAGTTTGGTTGTTAGCAAAATCATTGTTGCAACTGACGACACTTTTCATATTAATTTCTATTAAACGAGTCTAAAGAAGTTTTACTTCAAAAAGTTAATATTCTGTTTTTATGGCATGTGGGGTATCGTTTGAAAGGTCTCGACGAGTAGAAAACGATTTTCATAAGAAAAATAAGTATATTGTAATAAAAACGTCATATTACCATATTTTTTATCAAAAACAAGATTAAAATGTCATTTTTTTAAATGTGTGCGTTGGAAAACTTTTATAGCGTTTACGAAAATTAACTATACAATTTGTCTAAAAAAATTACACTTTAAATGAATTTCTATTAAACGAGTCTAAAGAAGTTTTACTTCAAAAAGTTAATATTCTGTTTTTATGGCATGTGGGGTATCGTTTGAAAGGTCTCGACGAGTAGATTAATAAATTATCAAATCGCTCCTTTGGCGACTCGTATCTCGAAACACTCGTATGTCGGAGTACCACTATATATAATAATAAGAAAGTAAATTTATTAATGTTTAAATATTAATGTTTCTTTAGGTTTTTTCACGCCAACCATTACCAAAGATTCTCTTCGAAATCGAAATAGCCTTAACAGAGCCTTCACCTGAATCACCAACGCCTGGTAATAGATCGGGAAGCCCTAAATTCAACCAAAGTTTTAATGAAAATTTGAGGTAACACATTTATAATTATTTTGTCGGACAAATAGTTTGCTTGACACTATTTTATTTTTCTAAATTTTTTTTTTAGAATTGCCGATGCCATCAGACAAAGAGTATTGCAGTTGGAAGGCCCCGAATTCAAATACAAGAGCATGTTCCGGAAAACAAACATATTAGAGGTAAATAATAGATAAATCTACATATACAGTTAGTTCGTCAGTAAGGTCGATAGCAGATAGCAATGTACAGTTATTTTATATCCATATTATTGCAAATTTTATTAGCTTTTCAACTATATATAATAACATATACATTTTTTAACAAAATTTAAAGATATTTTGCATAAACTAAAAAAATGTCCATATTTAATGCAGTCTATTTATAGTATTAATTGAAAGTTGTTTTTGTCAAAGTTTATCGATTTATAGTAAAAAAAATTATTATGCAATGTATAATTATTTTGAAATTATAGTATTTAGAATTTTATTAGCTTTTAAATAATGAATAATAATATATACATGTTTTAACAAAATTTAAAGATATTTTGACAAACCAACAAAAATGTCTTTCATCTCTCTTGCGGTTTATTCTTAATAAACCTGGAAAGTTATTGTGCAAGTTTGAAGATTTATACTAACAACTTTTATCATAACAACGTGCAATTATTTTACGCATATGTCATATAGAATTTTACAAGGTTTTTAACGATATATAATTATATATACACGTCGCAACAAAATTTAAAGATATTTGGCAAAAACTAAAAAAATGTCTTTCATCATCTCTCATGCATTCTGTTCATCTACCTATAGTCAAAGTTTATCGATTTATGATAACAATTTTTAATACTTCCAGAATTTTATTAGTAGATTTTTGTTTCATTAAATCTACATTTACAGTTTGCTCGTCAGTAGAGTCCATTTTCTATTTTGAGTTTTATTTTAGTTTGCTCGTCATAGAGTCCTTTTTCAAATATTTTGCTCGTTAGTAGAGTTCCTTTTTATAAAATGTCTCGTATTTCAGTTTGCTCATCAGTAGAGTCCCTTTTCCAATTTTTTCCTATATTTTGCTCAGCAGTAGAGTCCCTTTTCAAATATTTTCTTATATTTTGCTCATTATATTTTTATACAATGTCTTGTATTTCAGTTTGCTCGTCAGTAGAGTCCCTTTACAAATCTTTTGCTTGTCAGTAAAATTCCTTTTTTTATAAAATGTCTTGTATGTCAGTAGAGTCCCTTTTCTATTTACCGTCTTCTATTTAATTTTGCTCGACAGTAGAGTCCTTTTTCAAATATTTATCTCACATTTTGCTCGTCAGTAGAGTTCCCTTATAATAAAATGTCTTGTATTTCAGTTTGCTCGTCAGTAGAGTCCCTTTTCTATTTAATGCAAAATGTAATAGATTCAAAAGTACTCGACCGACCATCAAATTAATAAAATATTAAAAAGGACTCTACTGAAAATATTTAAAATGACTCTACTGACGAGCAAAATGTAATAAAGATCTAAAAGAATTCTTCTGACAAGGAAAATTTTAAAAGTATCAAAAGGAACTCTACTGACGACCTATTTGATAAAATATTAGACATTTCAATGTTTTTACATGTGAATTTATATTGCTTCGAAATATGAGCGCGGTTAGTGAACGAATTAAACTTATTCTCATGCCACTTACACCTAGTTTATCATTTTTCTCATTGCTATAGTGTTAATCTGTATAATTATATTTTATTTATCCAGATTGCGAAACTTTTAAAACACATGCAAGAATGTATCAACAAATCAAAACAACAAGTCGCAATTTTGGAACACACATTGAAGCTACGTAAAACAGGTTTTTAGACAAAGAATTAATTATTTTATTACATAATCAATATATTAAATATAATTCACAATTTATATTTTTCTTAGGTTTTATGAATTATATAAAATACATGCTCGACATGACCGAGTCTTCTGATTTGGAGCACTCCATCGCCGAGGGAAAGAAAATTCCTGGATATTTAGAAGTGTCTTCGCAGTATTTGTGCCAAATTTTTAACGTAAGAAATAAATAAATACAATTTAAATATTTTATCTCAATTATTTTGTAATATTTACTTTCAATTTCTATTTGCAGATAGACTACAGTGAATTGAAATTGAGAATAAATCAACAGTTGAAAGATTCCGAGACTTTTACGTGTGATCCGACGACGTCTTTTGAGGGAACGAGTTTTAATAGTATTCATTCCACGGGTTCCCATTTTGTTTTGAATTATGCACAGGTAAAATAATAAAAATAGTAATATATTATATATATATATATATATATATATATTTATTTATTTATTTATTTATTTTTAGGTTAAAGAATACGCTCGCAATATGAAATACATGGGTGACCCCGATTTAATACCGCCAAGCAGTTACGAGATGAAATTTGTGGTCGACAAATGTTTTGCTCTAAGTCGATACTTAAATTGCAAGGTAAGCTTTAAAACATAAATATTACAAATTTATGCAAATTGATAATTAGGAAGTCAATTCTCTGATAAAATTTAA